AATAATAATAATGTATTATCAAGTTGATTCTAACTTAACAGTAATGCTCTCCAGGGTTTCTAGGTATAAAGTATGTAGAATTGGTTTACCACTCCCTTGTTCTGGGGCACTCTGGGGCCATGCAACTTGCCAACGCTACCCATGCTAGCTTTCTTCTGGAGGCACAGTGGAAAACTCAATTCTTGATCCCAAGTGCTCCAGCACTTCATTACATAGGCAGCACTTTATCCAAAAACCATGAAATAATACACACATTCAAAACATAATCAGGTGACTATACAATGTTTCTTCAAAATTGAAAAACAATTTTAACAGATCAGTCCAAAGGTCCAGGTAATCCAGCCTCCTGCTTCCCACAGAGACCAACTACAATGGTGCCTCGACTTACGAACATCACGACTTACGACCAATTCGTGATACAACCAGCTCCGGCTGCAAATTTTTGCTTTGACTTGCGACCAGAGCTTTAAGTTACGATTGGAAAAAAGTCAGGGAAAAAGGCGGGTAATTCAAACTGCTAACTGTTGGTGGTGAAGAGGCTGCTTCTTTGTAGCTCTTTCGCCCCAGCGGTTAGAGAGTGTGCATTCAGAGGAGGCTTCGGACTGCCTGGTAAGGTGCTGTTTTCTGCTTTTTAAAAACTGCCTGTTCTGGGTGGGTTTTGCAGTGTAGTTTTGGGCTGGGGGGTTTATGTTTCTGTGCTGTGATGGGTCTTGCAGTCTTTGTTTTTTGGGTCCCCCCCCCGGGGTTTCCTATGGGTTTTGCAGGGTTTGTTTGCTTTTTGCTTTTCTTTTTTTGCATTTCCGATGGGTCTTGCAGGGTTTGTTTGCTTTTTTGGGTTTTTTCCCTTCGGCCAGAATGGATTAATCGCATTTCCGATGGGTCTTGCAGTGGCTTTTTAAATTTTTATTTTATTTTCCCCCCCGGCTGGAATGGATTAATCACGTTTCAATGCATCCTATGGAAAATGGTGTTTCGACTTACGACCATTTTGAGTTACGACCATCTTCTGGAATGGATTAAGTTTGTAAGTCAAGGCACCACTTGTAGATGCTTCTAGGAATCCCACAAATGGTATGAATGCAACAGCATATAATGCGAAAAGCAACTCTAAAGATCTTCCCACGTGTCTCTGTCTGATCTCTACACTTGGAGTAGTGAAGTCACAAATCCAGAAATGCAAGGGTCCTCCAAGATGGGAATATTCCTTATTATTTTCCATCTGCCCACCACTTTTTCCCCATGGCCTGCATACACACACATTTGCATACTCCAGTTCATGACTTTGCTGCAACCAAATGGGGGATGAAGTGAGAAGGCAGAAGTCAATGGGCAAGGCTTTCCTACTAATTAGAGATGGTGATGTTTATATTTGTAAACCAATATGAATATCCCCATCCCAGGTTTCACCTAATGCGAATCCAACCTCGGAACCAGCCTGTCCACTCACACGTCACTGCACCACCAGACTCCCGCTCTTCTTGCCAACTGCGGAAATTGTTCTGCTGTCTCCCTGCTCTTCTGGCCTCTCAGCAGCCGTGTAAGGAGACTTGTCCTACCGCCCCATACCTGGAGTGGCCAGCTGAGCCAAGAGATGCTGGAGCTACTTCCGCGTTTGGTGAGAAGAGTGGGAGGCTGGCAGTGTGTGGGTGCGTGAGTGGATGGGCTGGTTCTGAGGGATGGACCTGCACTAGGTGCACCTGAGATTGGGATATTTGTATTTGTCTACAAATGTGAATATCCCCATCTCAACTACTAACTCCTTTCTGCTATTAACACCCCCTCCTTGCTTCTTTCTTGCCCCTCTTCTTTCTCCAGGCTGAACAACAGGAACAGTTTATATATCCCAGAGATACCCCACTTCCCACAGTAGTATTAAGTTCTTCAAAAAAAAAAAACCCTCTGGCTTAAGAATGTGGGATATTGTGCTTCTGTACCCACAATTCAAAAACCCAGGAAATGGCCCAATATTGCTGCAAAATATCATGCCTGTGCTGCCAGCAGGAAAAAGGATGCCAAGCTTTATATAGCAAAGAGCAGCATGAATGTTGACAACACCAGTGGCAGCAGTCAAGATGGGCTACAGTAGTGGTCCCCAACCTTTTCTGAACCACAGACCGTGTGGGCAGGTCATGCTCGTGGGTGGGCAGGGTGCACCCTCGCATATGTGGGGGTGGCAGTGGTGCTCTCGTGGGTGGGAGGAGTGCACTCGCACACATGCGCGGGTGCACTTGCAGGTAGGTGGGACTGCTCACGTGCATGTGCGGGTTGGCGTGGTGCTCTTGCGGGTGGGTGTGGCTCACGTGCATGCACGAGGTGCACTTGCACACACGTTTGGGCAAGGCACCCATGCATGTGGGTGGGTGGGCCATGCGTGCAGGGGGCAGTGCATGCGTGCAGGTGGGAGATCTGTCTTGTGTTGTCAAGTCACTTACACATTATGGTGACCCTATGAATTAGTGCCATCCCTGTACTGATGTTTACATTAGCATGTTAAAATAATGTATGCATGTGTATATATGTGTATAAAGTGTAGTTATGAAAAATCATATTACAACAGAAATAGCATATTATAATATTCAATACTACAGTATATTTATATTTCCAAACATATAATGTAACCATGAAAAACCATGCATAAACACACACAGATGAATAAAATATGAATACATAAAGAATATAATGTGATAAAATAGCCTGAGGTACGATAGGAAACTCTTCTTTCACATGTGTGCAAGAAAGAGCAAATGTGTGTCTGAATGAGAAAGAGAGGCTGTCGTTCAATTTATTTTTGGAATGGAGAAATAATAAATCAAGGAGGGGAAAGTGGATGTGGAGATGGCCCCACGGAAGCACCCTGTGGGTGTCCCAGGGAAGAGACCGAGGGCGTGTGAGCGCACAAGTGAGTCAAATAAGTAAAAAGGAAGGGAAACGGGAGGGTCTGTGACCAGCAGCAATGCCACCTGGAAATAATGGCTGAAATTGAAAAGAGATGGCAAGATACTTGAATTCAAGGGGGAAGATTTAAGCCAGATGTGCTTATTTAAATTGTTTAATGCTTTCAATCAAAGAGGTTTATAAAGATGTAATGTTAATTTGTGTTTATGATGCTTGATTTGTTACTCTGTTATTGTTATTTATATCTTTATGGATTATTTTGTGTTCAGTGCTGTCCCATATGTTCCTCTGTAAACCACTGAGAGTCATGGTTCACCATGACATGGGTCCAATGAATGAACGAATGAATATATGAATAAAGCAAGAGCAAGGGTGAGAGCACTGGCCTGGAGCAGGGGCGATCCAGGTCTTCACACCCAATGGGCCATGAGGCTCAGTGGGTGACCCTTGAGCCCGCTGCTCTCTGCCTGTCCTCCCTCACAGGGTTGCTGTGAACGGAAAGCAGGGTCGAGGATAAGCGACTCTTGGTGATTTAATAACCATAATCTGCTTTGGCCCTGGAAAGCAGCAGGATATCAAATGCTAACTGAACCTGTGACAACCCCAGACCTACTGGAGTATGCCACACTTTAACTATGCTGCCACCAACCATTCCCTATAAGAAGTCACACAGACCAGGAATGGATTTTACTAAACAAAAGAACAAGGTTTATTTAAATAACAAACAGGGAAAACAAAATGATCAGGTAAATAAGATACTGTAACGTGGCGTAGTCTCAATCATATACATACAACAGTTTGGTTCACACAGAACACTTTAAAGTAAAGCACAGACCCTGAACCTATCAGTTCTGGCTACCTATAAAGAAACCTGAACCTATCAGGTATGTACTAACTGACACACAGACTCCCACTCCTCACTCTTCACATCAGCTCCACATATATATACAGTACAGCCCCTCCTCCTGATGTCCCGCCTTCCACTCCCCATAGGATGGAACTTTCCCTCCAAACCCATGACAGACAGGTACCATCAGTGCTGTATGTAACAGAACCAAACTAAACGGCCAACACAGCCGAGGCTGACTCAGTAATGGCAGTTTCAGGGGAGAGGGTAAATGCACCCTGTGCATGCTCAGGGGCACTGCTGCCTTCGCTCTAGGGTCAGGCCACTTTTCCCAGCAAGACTTGCAGGCTCTAGCAGGGGCGGAAAGGATTGCGCGGGAAAAAGATGCTGAGGGTGAACGCATCTCATCTCCCCCCCCCCCCCCGTTTAGGTAAATTCGGCCGCAAACGGTGCCTTAGGGGGTTGAATCTCCATGGCAACGAGAGGAAACTGCCCCACCTGGAACTGCTCGATGGCCTCGAGGGGTCTCTGTGCATCTCTTGCAGATCCTCCCCGTGGGCCACTCCGCGGTCCTGCAAGTGCGACGCCCGCCCTTCGGGTCGGAGGCCTTTTACCTCCGGAAGGGAGAGAGACTAACAAAGCGAGGCGTGGAAAGGGGACCCCGGAGATGGGCGCGGAAAGAGACCGAGGGCGAGTCTATGAAAGAAGTAGAAAACCGGGAGGAGCTGCGAGCTGCCGCCCCCGCGCCCCGCCCTCGGCCGGCAAGCAGTGGCGGGCCGGGCGCTGCCGAGGCGGCCCTTCCCTTTGGAGGGTGCCCCGTTCGGCGCCTTGCCCTGAGTGCCCACAACCAGGAAGGGGGAGGGGGAAGAGGAGGAGGAGGAGGAGGAAGGAAGGAAGAGAACTTGCCGGGTATCTGAAGATGTTTGTTTGAGAGCCGCATTCTGATTGGTCAGAATGCTAAGCGATGCAAATAATATGCTGCTATTAATATGCCTAAAGTTCTACAGTTTTAAATCTCCTCCTTCCCTCCCCCCCCCTCATAACTTCCTTCTCTGAGGAGCTTCCAAACAGAGTGTTTACACAAAAGGCAACAGAGTAGGGGGTCAGGTGGGGAGTCTATGACCCTCCAGACATTTGGACTTCACCCGTTACTTACCTACTGCTATGCTGGATGGGACTGATGGGAACCAAGGGCCAAAGGTCCCCTATCACTGCAACAGGAGGCAAAGTGAAAGAAGATGCAGAAAATATAATTGAAGGAAGATGGAGAAAATATTAAGAGGGGTTCAGTAGACCTATGTTATTAGGGTTAGCTGCAATAGGAAGATGAGGACTTATAACAGCAGTAGGTTTGGTGGAGTAAAAGGTAAAGGTTCCCCTTGAGAATTTTTGTCCAGTCGTGTCAGGTGTAAATAATTAGATAGTATTTTTCAAGCAGGTCTATGAGTTGCTTCTAAGTGTAAGGGACAAGAAAGATGAGGATGGCAAAGAGGAAATTGAAATTTCTGAGTGTGAAGTCAGATATAGTGGGAGGATGGAGTAACGGAAGACTCTGAAGGCCAAGGTGTCTCATGCTGAATCTGGGTAGACAGATCTATTCAACTGTTAGTTCAGTAGACACAACAAGTTGTAGAAACTGCATACCTCCATGTTAAGCTTTTTTTTTTTTTGCTAAGAAATCCGGATTTTGTCATAAGCATTGCTTTTTTGCACACAGAGGTGTGAGGAAAAACCAGGAAGTAGGCATTGGGTGCTGTGGATGCAGTCCACCAAAACTACTCTTGCACAAGCTAGGTAGAACTAGGCAGGAGTTGCAGAAGAGTGGGACCTGCCACTAGGTAACAGTGCAGAATTATGTGAAGCAAATAAATGCATGAACTTGAGAAGGAATATTGGTATGGCAGAAGATGAGACTTGGGTTGATTAAACAGATCTTCCAAACTCAGGTTGGCATGGCCAAATATTAGCTATTGCTCAGAATGTAAAACAGAAATAATACTTGCAGAGTTCTGATGTGAAATAAGATTGTGGCTACAAAATATATTGCACACAGAAAATGTGTAAAATATGTCCACAAATTTATCTTTATCTTACTTGGAATGGAAGCTGATCAGGGAACCATGACGTTGGTCAAACCAATGTATAAATATCTCTTGTGCTTTAGCAAAGCCAATAAACCTTTGATTCAGCCATCTGAATGACTCCTTTTTATCCTCCACAGGTTAAGCATCAATGGACTATGACTTGCTGTTCAGGAGCACAGAGGTTGGATGTGAGATGTTTTTGTACACCTCAGTTGCATCCTCCCTTTTCAGATCTCTCTCCTTCTTTCACCAGTGGTGTCTGCAAGGTGTCTCCTCCTGATCCAGTGGGACAGCCCTGCAGATGTGCCTGTCATTCTGCAGGATTTCACCACAGGGTATCATGTCATCTTAACCAGAGCCATACACAGTGGCCTCCAAGTAATCAGGCCTTAGCTAGCAATGACTGGAAGCTATATCCACACTGCGTTAAGCAGATCTCTCCAGCTCACTTCGAAGGAATCCCAAGCACTGCATGTTCTGGAAGATGCATTCATTCTCACCCTTGGAAGCTCTCCATTAAGGCAGATGTGAACAGCACACAGCCTGTTTTTAGTGCACTTTCTAGAGACTCAGCACAAGAGGCAGTTGATTTTGCTGAGCATGAGTTTACAACCAGGAACTGCAGTGTTGGTTCCCTTGATACAAGGTGCCTGGATCCCACATGCCAATGTGAATGTTGTGTTCCTTCTGCGCCAAAGCATTATGCCATTTACTCATCACCAGTTTCCTTGAGCAATCTTCAAAATGAACGTGGCCACAGATTCTCAAATAATGTACCACCAGTTCTTGTTGCTGTGTATCCTGATGAGCTAGGTTCTCCTCTTCATGTGGAACAACTGGCCCAAATTGACCGGACTCCCACACCTTCTATTCCAGATAGTTACTTGGTCTTTTCCAGATATTAAAACATGGTGAGACCATGAAGCATCATGAATTAAGGACTGCTTTCTCTAATACCACGTTATACCGCTCTTATTCCACCATGTAAGCTTGGCTTTCTTTACATTATTTCTTTGGCATGACAGTTTTGCGTGCTTGAGCAACATCATTGCAGAAATGGATTAATTGCGGCTTGGAGAATTACTATTGCAGATTTTGCCTTCTGTTGCAATAAAGGTGAGGAGTATGCAAAAGTGATCTTTTGCAATGTTTGTCCTGAGTCCATTCCCTGATTCTGTTTAGTACCCTCCAGTGTGGGTTTAAGAGTATTAATTTATTCCTGATAGTATTTCATGGCTGAATATAACTGGGGTTCTCACTTACTCAGTGTACACTCAGGAACACTGCTCTGGTTTGTTCCTTATGGACCAAGTTTTCTTACCTTATAGACCATCATGCAAAAAGAATGTGAACGGCTCTAATTTAAATCAGCTGTTGCAGTATGTGCCCTATGGGCAATACCCAGTGATACTTTCTACACATCCCACACAGCAATCCATGTAGTTTCCTCTTAAAAAATTGTTGCAGTGCAGCCACAACCTGCTTTTCCAGCATACAAAAATATAAAAGAAGTTTAATGAGTAATCAATAGTTGGAAACTTCAAAAGCCATTATCAACTAGTTTGATAATTTTAAAATGATCTCAATAGACTATTGGGTATTGAACTAGATAACACTCTAGTGTGGTGACCTAGTGAACTGCAGCTGTCATTGGCTATATCCTCTTTGCAGTTGCAGAGCACCACAGCTCTGCAAGCAGTTGGCTCTGTGCAGTCTCCTGCTTGGAGTTAAATGAAAGCTAGAGATTGGCCTTTCACTGTTAACAGGGTTTTCTAGTTGCAAAGGGGGTTACAATGAAGAGCCTCGTGGCGCAGTGGTTATGGATTAATTTTTGTTTTAATTGTATTTGTTCTGTTGTTAGCCGCTCAGAGTGGTATAATTATACCAGATGGGCGGGATATAAATCAAATAAATAAATAAATTAAATAAATAAATAAAACGCTGTACTGCAGCTAAAACTGTGCTCACGACCTGGGGTTCAAATCCCAGGTAGGCGGCTCAAGGTTGACTCAGCCTTCTATCCTTCCGAGGTCGGTAAAATGAGTACCCAGCTTGCTGGGGGGGGGCAATGTGTAGCCTGTATAATTAAACTGTAAACCACCCGGAGAGGGCTTGTAGCGCTATGGGGCGGTATATAAGTCCAAAAAAAAAAAAAAAAGGCCTTTGGGCAAATGTTAAGACACAAAACAATTGCAAATAAAAGGACAACTTCCATGTGCAACAAAAAACAGAACACTTCATTCATACTATGAGAAAAGTGTCAGCTGCCACTTTTCTGCAAACTCCAGCTCTCATCTAAAAAGCATTTCCAACTTCAGTTTCTGTAAAACACAGCTCATGAAATATGATCTCTTTACCCCTCTTGTTCCTTTGGATGCTCCAGACTGACGGAATACGCAGCTGGCATCTATGCCCTTCTGTGGAGAGATTTTAACTGCCAGCAAGTCAGATATTATGATTCCCTTCCTTTATAGTGATTTTCTAAGATTGTTGTTTGTCAGGCCAAAACAAAACAAAACAAAAAGAAGAAAAAAAATAAAGACAAAAATGTTGTGGCACCTTAAAGACTAACTGCTATATTTTAGTATGAGCTTTCATAGAAAAATTCACTTCTTCAGACATGAGTATGTGACTGCATGGCAAATATTTATGCAGTTATACATGGACCAAAAACAAATATACTGTTTCCTGGGCACAAGTAGTTGATGATAAGGCATTTCATACCTGGCAATGACCATTAAAAGCCCTTTTGAGCTGTTGTCTCAGTCTCTTTGTAGGAAACTGTGTGTGCTGTATATCTGAGGTAGTGTCAAGAGAAGCTTCTGATTAGATATTGGGTGTGTGGGGCAGATCCAGTATTTGTAGTGAACGCTCACATGGCACTGTTTTTAGAGGTCAAAGGAAACTGGTGCATGATGTACTTCATTGTACTCTAGAACAGCTATTTTCAAACTATTTTTTTGGGGGGGGGGCACGGCCAAAAACACAATATGAAATAAGAGGCTGAATCAGGATTGTGTAAGTTGTATAACAAACCTTATAAGGTGACGTGTGAAGAAATCTGCTGAAAATGGCTGCTCTAGAATTCCAAGATCCACCAAACAGTCAGGCACAGAGATATGAAATCAAACAATTCCAAGCCTGGACATTTGAGTACAAAAACTTGAGAGTTTGTGATCCTTTCAAACTTAAATGTCACTATAATTTAGCCACCATAAGTGTGTGCTGCGGCTTTTGTTTACTGTATTTTCTAACACTAGGGAGGCAGATGTTGTGATGATTTGTGTTTTTATGTGTATTAGAATGGGATATGTAGTCCTAAGATTGTCCCAATAGCATCCATCTTGATTTAAAGTCTGTTCTGTAGTAGGTAAGTTTTTCATGCTGTTTCAGAGAAGCTTCGCTCTCTGGTTATCTCGTTGCTAAGATGAGCAGAGAGCAGAGACTTTCGTAGTCAAAATAATTCTGCCACAAAGTATGATAACAACTGAAGCTCCATGAGAAAGTTAGGCGGAACAACAAGACCCAGGAGGGGGTGTTCCTTATGAAGAATTCTGGGAAGAAGAAGGAAGTTGGTAAGGAGTTGAAAAAAGATGGAGTTGGACTGAGAAAGGTCAGACACGTGCTTTTGCCCATAATGGATTATAATTTTGCTATGGACTATTTTTCCTACCATGGACTGATGGAAGTCAACTGGATTTCATCTAGCATCAGCCCATGAAGACCCAAGACACGTGAGATGGACTGTGTTATGCTTTTTAATAGTTAGCATAATTCTATTTCTAATTCTTTTCAATAAAGCAGTAATGATTTGATCTGCATGCATTGGTTCTGGTACAGACTAGCTGAATGTCTAATTGGCCATGTGTGTTTGCTACCAAAGATTTAGAGCCAGATTATTCTGAGTATAACTCATGGATTTATCTGTGTGTGTTGCTTTCTTACTAAAGGAGATTGGCTCTTGAGGAAGAAGTTTAGACAGGACCTTGCTGAGACCTAAGTGGCTCTGCTCATCAGTCAGAGGTTTGTCTGGATTTCGGACTCGTCCCAGTCTCCGGCACCCCCATAAATCTCTTTGGAGATAAGGGGCTGCTTACAGATGTCCTGCCTGATCCGTTAGGAAGATCAGTATTGCCTTCTGCCTACCACTAAACTGGGGCTTATTTGTCATGTAGGTCCATGCTGCTCGTGTCTTTCCTATGGAGACATGAAGTTGTACTTTTATATTTACAGTAATTCTGTTAGCCCAAGACAGTGAGTGGTATAAAAACATCAAGAGGCCCTCTGACATCGATATTTCCTAGAATTGTAGTAGGGTTGGAAGGGACCTTGGAGGTCTTCTAATCCAACCCCCTGCCCAAGTCAGGAGACCTCATACCATCCCAGATCTCACACTATCCCGAACAGATGGCTGGCCAATCTTTTGTTGAAAACCTCCAGCGATGGGACACCCACAACATCAGGAGGCAAGCTGTTCTATTGCTTAATGGTTCTCACCATCAGGAAATTCCTAATTTCCAGGTTGGATCTCCCTCTTGACGAGTTTCTACCCATTGGTTCTTGTCCTATCTTCAGGTGCAATGGAGAGTAAATTGATGCCCTCTTCCCTGTGGCAACCCTTCAGATATTAGAAGACTGCTATCATGTCTCCCTTCAGTCTTCTGTTCATTAAGCTAAACATACCTAGTTCTTTTAGTTGTTCTTCATAGGATTTAGCCTCCAGTCCTCTTATCATCTTTGTTGCTCTTCTCTGCACCCCTTCCAGTGCCCCAGTGTCTTTTTCATATTGTGATGACCAGAACTGGACGCAGCACTCCAAGCATGGGCTCCCCAGCACAGTATAGAGTGGTTACTATCACTTCCCGTGATCTTGATGCTATCCCCCTGTGGATGCAGCCTAGGACTGTGATGGCTTTCTTGGCAGCTGCAGCACACTGCTGACTCATCCATTTTCCACCACTGAACTGCATCTTATTGGATAAGGCCCAATGTTCAAGTCTATCTAGATCCTCCTGAATGTTGAGTCTATCTTCCAGAGTATTAGCAGTTTCCCTCAGCACTGTGTCATCCACAAATTTGATGAGTACTCCTTCAATCCCCCCATCCAGGTCATTTATGAAGATGTTGAAGAGCACTGGCCCCAAGACAGAACCTTGAGAGACCCCACTGCACACTTCCCTCCACGTAGATGTGGTTCCATTCAGGACCACACGTTGAGTGCAGTTGGTCAGCCAGCTGCAAATCCATTTGGTAGTTGCGCTGGCTATCCCACTTTATCCTATCTTACGCAGAAGTAGGTTGTAGTCCACCTTATCAAATGCCTTACTGAAGATGATGATGTCACAGGGCCTGGATAGGGGGCACTTGAAGGCAGTTTAAGATGAGGAGCGAGCTCTCAAGGGTTCAGGGCTCTCATAGTGGCCTGAAGGTGTCACCTAGTTAAATACCAGCACACTGTTATAATTCTCAAACTGTGAACCTGTGCCCTAGATTTTGATATTATGAGAGTATATAACTGTGTAGGAAAGGCTGCTTGCCTCATCATCTGCTTAATAGTAAGTCCCTGACTCTGGAATTGATTGCCTGGAGAAGTATGGATGATGCCAATACTGATGTCAGTTTGCTGCCATGAGAAGGCCTTTTCATTTTTCAAGGCTATTTCATTCATCCCTTGATTGCTTTAGGATTGCCTTTTGTTTTAATTTTTGCTGACCACTAGTATGTTAATTGTTTAAACAGTGTTTTAATATTTTATTTTTGAATACTATTTTAATTTTGGGGAAGTATCCTAGATACTTCCTGATGGGCAGAGCATAATTCCTGAAAACAAGACAAAACAAAACCCTTATGAATAGAATTCACTTGATGCAACCATGAAGGTGAAGAGCTGGTAAAAGTGAGAGGCTCATGTGAAGCATGTCTACCTTACCCAGCTACTAGGAAGGCCCATTACTACACTGGACATTCAACTGATATAACAAAAGCGTAACACTTCCAAGCATTTTATGTAGAGAATATTTTATTAGTTTCTGTAATCAAACCCATGTAAATAAGACCTTACATATTTAATACAGTGCGTTACCCCTGTACAAATGAAAAAGTTTAAACATTTCTAGACCAATATGGCTGTTAATTTCTGTACAATGCCAACTCACAGTACAATTGGATATCTCTTCCCCAAAGCTGACATCACAGCTAAGTTTTGAAAACTTCAAATTATAATATTTATATAAAAAAGATAACCAATAGCATTTCACTAGGCATCAATAGCAGCAATTCCCAGCTTCTGCTGTCATCTGAACAAAATTATACACATTAGACTTTTAGCTCACTCTGTTCCAGGAAAGAGTGGGGAAGGAAAGAGGAAGAAAAGGAATTTATTAGAGAAAACAGCCAGTTCTGCAACTGGTGTGGCATGTGGTGATTGTGTTAATTTCCAACCATTGCCTGAAAAGTCTAGAGTAACATTATTGAACAGCTCTGCTATAGCACAGTCACAACTACATATCATAAGCAAGTATGGGTATTTTACATTCACAGAAGTTATCATACAGTACTCTCCTACAGCTATACTACTAGAAGGATACAATTTAAGAAGGCATTATTTGACTTGATTCTATTTCCCGCCACGGAGTGAGCAAGTAGGTGCGATGCAGCTCTGATATAAGAATGTGCCATTTTATAAGATGCTTACTCTTCTGGCACAATGTCAAGTGCTTGCTGATCTATACAGACATAAGCTGAAAGCCATCTGGAGGCCAAAGGCTTTCTTTTCCCGAGTGCTACTCAGCGACAGCTCAAGGAGAATGAAGATACTACTCCTAAAAAGGGTCTCAGAAAGTCTGCATATCTGGTGTGAGAGTAACAAGGGGGCCCACTGACATTTTTTAAACTTAGTTGAGTTCAGTATATCAAATTAGCAGCAGCCACAACCTGCCTTTTACAGAAGTCTGACAAACAACATTTAGAGAATGAAGTGTGTGTAGGGGGCAGGGAATTTTTTAAAAAGGGCAGGGGTGATTAAGCTCTTCTGTGTCACTTACCAATTGCCTCAAATTTTCTTGGTTCATTATAATACTCCCTCAGGACACCGAGTAACATAAAACCAAACCCAGTGTTGTTCAGGAAGGCCTTCTGTGTTATGCCTCTCTTCCCAAAACGAAACAGCAGCAACAAAGAGTAGAATGTTTACCTTCAGCTAAGAAGATGCCTTGGGAAAATTAGCTCTCATCTGACATCCTTGGAAAGGAAAGATCACACTCTGTTCAGAAAGATCAAGCTCATTCATGGGGTGGCATGGAAACTACATGCCTCAAGATCACCAGACCTTTCGAGCCTGTAGCTGTTCACATCTGCATCTCTTTATCCCACACACAACCTTGAAAGAGCATGCCTTGCCCTTTTGGGCTGGCTATAGGTTTGTGCTGCTGTCGTTCCACACAAAAAACCCCCATAGTAACAGAAATGCACTCAGCACTTATGATTTTGTTTCTTCTGTCTTGATAGCTTGAGGCTTGATTGGTCCAGTTCTAACCGGCTTGGGGATAGTGGCAGGTGCAGGACTCTGCTTCTCCTCTGCTTTGTCCTGGCATGCTCCTGAGGAGGAGTCGGCCAGCGGCTCAGGGCCTTTATTCACATTGTCACCCACTTTTTGAATTTTGCCCCCAGGCGGCTTGTTCTGCTGCTGCTCAGAAAAGAATCTTTGTGTAGACTGAAGGACTTCAGCTCTCTGTTTTGCCTTAATTTAAACAACAAAAGAAAACAAAATTAAATACAGGACAGACCAGAAATTAAAATTATTTATTCAATGTGCTCAGGTTGCACAGTGTCCTGGTCAGGATCCTTTAAAATAAAATCCTTTACTACCGACCACAGTAACAACACACAAGCTGGGACTCACACACCTCATTACTGGAATACCAGACAAAATAGTTTGCTGCAATGCTTCATACGTATTCTGAACTCTTTAGAATCTAAAACTCACTAGAGGCAGTACATGGCTTGGGAGGAGCCCAAATGGCTATCCAATCCAATCCCATAGTGTAAGTCCTGATTATCCTTCACTCTCCCACACACTCAAGGAGAAATGGATGCTCGAAAATAAACAACAGATAATGCTATTAGTTGCAAACCTTGATTCTATGTACATTTATTTAAAAGCCCCATTAAATTATAATGGGCTTTAATTCCACGGATCAACTTAGAACTGATACAGATTTATTTTTAACTGTAACAAAATCCCATTGGTTCTTCAAGTTCTGTTCCAACTGGAGATGCCTAGAAGTTCAAGAATGTTTATGTTGCTGGGAGACATTATTGAGTACCACAGAGAACCAGCAACAACTATAATTACTGTGCAAAACACCCATCAGGCCTGCTGAAGGTGTGGAGTTAGCTCCTACTACTTTTCTTCAACTGTAATAATTGGACAGTGTCAGCAAGAGCTACTCCTCTTAAAATGCAGTATGTTGCAACTCTACACAATCAGGTGCTCCACACAACCCTCTATAGGAGAGAAAAACTTCTTACTTTCAATGAACCATCTTCATTGAAAGTTCAAACATGCATTTTCAGGGCTGAACCACAAGAAATACCACTGTTTAACCACTGGGCATTTAGTTCAATCATAACTGTGAGCACTTTTAACAGAAATGATAATCAAAGATGCTAGATTTTCACTTATATAACAACTTGAAGAATAGTGTGGGATTTTCCTGTAATTCATGCATACCAAATTACTGGACAAAGTAGTGTGGCTATCTCTTATAAACAGCAAAAACTATCATTACTGGTTACTGAAAGCCGTACTGAAGTGGATAAAAAGTAACACAAAACATTAAGAGAATTTCTCCAGTAGCAAAAAGACAAATGTAAGTAGAGGACCTCAAAGAAACTTCTTAATCTGAATACATGGTAGCTGGAGTTGGTTTTTTTTTTTTAACTTTATGACAATGCAAATGGGAGATTTTTCCACCCTACAACTGTAAGTCTGCCTGGTGCCAAATCTGAAATATTTCTAAATCAAATGAAGATGTCTTAAACATTTGCCCAGACCATGGATTATAAAGTTAGTTTAAATTAATTTTAAAAAACTCATTCTATTTTTATTAGTCTGTTGTACATTTTTTTCCTGTGGATTTAATATTCAATTAAATATTCAAAGTTATTTGTGTCTGTAAACAAGAAGACAGCATATAAATGCTCCACATTAAATATACACTAGTCATGATGGTTATATGTCAGTTCCAGTGTCAGATGCCTTATGAATGCTGGGCAATAAAAGCAAGATGACACTACTTATGTCCTGCTTGTGGACTTACCACAGACACATGGTTAGCCGCTGTGGAAACAAACAACTATTTAGTATGATCCAAAATGGCTCTTACTTATGTTCCTTACATGCAAAGACTAACAATCACTTGAACAAGTAAGATAACTCATTCAACAGAGGTGCTTGGAGATTGTCCTGACTAGAGGGGGAAAACAATACTTCTCAGTCTTAGAGAAAGACCTGATTCATGAATGTATGCAACAGATATGCTAGCAACCATCTGGGCTCATTTCTTTTGATTTCATGCAATTCTCACAGACTCTGTTATCACAGCTCATATACAAAAGATAAAGCATCTTATTTCATCCAGAAGGGTCTCCAAGTGTTTTCAAACAATGTTATGCAGTGAAATGCAGCTATGGTTAGATGATTCTAACTAATCAGTTTTGTGCAATCAAACAGAAGAGAATGCCAGAGTGTGATCTGCTTAGTAGCAGGCTGCATCCAATGGGCAGTATCCAACAGTGTGCTTCCATTGGCAGAAATGGAGGATTAGCTCCTCCTTCCCATAGCCTCCTATATGCCCTGAAAGCCTTCTCCCTTTGGAACAGGTTTCCACTGCATCAGAAGTCTGTCAGGCCCTGTGGGGTGGAGAGGAGGTTTCCATGCTAGTATCACATTGGAATTTGCTCATTAAAAGCAGGCAAATTCTTCAAAAGTGCTGGAATTTCTGCAGTTCATTGGGTTCCTGCTTTCTTTTAACATTTAACTATGATTATCGCTACTATATTTTTTGCAATATCTGAGTGTGAGTTTCTATGTGGCCATTGCAGAAAAAGATATCTGCATCTTAAACAAAAAGTAGTGTTTTGCCTTGCAAACCTTTAAGACTCAACTGTGGTTAACACAGCGTGGCCATTCAAAAATACTAACCTTCATGTCTTGTTCGGCCTTCATCGCAGCCTGGGCCTGATTGCCTCTGACTCCAGACAGTGATCCACAAGGACCCCTGGCCACATGTGGCAAACGAGGGTGGCTCAAAAGACCTGTGGTCATCTGAGGTGGCATCTGACTAGCCAGTGCCATTGGCGGCCTCTGAACGGGCGCTGGGAAGGTGTTAGTATGTGGGGCTCTTACCAATGGAGGGACCAGGTTAGGCTGAGAGAGAATCTAAGTGGGGGAAGAAACAACAACAAAAAGAGAGACATTTAGCTATTAGCAAAATGGCCAACCTGATCACATGGTGGCTTCTCTGAAGGAGCAGGCCTCCATTCCCAATTAGTGCCAAATGCATCAGATGCATTTTAGTTAAGATTGGCAATATGTGGAGGACTTGACAGGGTAGATCCTAAGGTGGGGAGTGTGCTTAAAAACCGCCATAGCACATTCAAGATTGGTGGGGGAGGGCAACGGGGAAAAAGAGAAACATACTCAAACATACATTAAGATGCAGGAACTGCATTTATACTTTCAGATAAACTCCAGCACTCTCAAATTAGATTTGAAACATTCTGGGCAATCTAGGGATAAAAGCACTCATCTCACCTCTCCTTCCTTTTCAGGCACATGATAGCACCTGCACTGTGGAAGTACTGCCCCATCTAATGGGTGCTGATTTTTAAGGGATGTGTATCTTGGAAGATGGCCCCACAGCTGCATTTCAGATGAAAACACAATATTCACCAGAAATTTATATGCAAGCCCCAGCGAAATGAATGGAGGCTGCGCAGAAGGAGCTTTGCCAACTTGCACAATTCCAATCTTTTTCAGGAGACATTCTTGGTGCTTCACATCCTAATGTCTGTCAGGATGTCTGAGGCACAAACTGGGACCCTTCTCTTAGATGTTTCCATTTGATTGTGAACAGTAATTTGTCTGCTGATGTTTAACACTCAGTTGTATTAGACGCTGTGTGGAGACACCTGTGGCCAGCTGCCTGCATCAGAGCTATCCAAGTCCTCAACTTTAGAAAGTTATTGAAAGTAAAATATTTTCATTCAAGTATTAGAAAACTGATATGAATTAGATTTATGGAAAGGAGATTTAATTATAATCCAATAGACATCCCTGCATTTAGAAGCACATCTGAAACAAGGCTAAGCTATGGTTAGTGACAAATCCTAGCCCTTTGGCAGAAAAGCAATTGCTGCCCACCTGGGGTGCGAACTGAGGAGGAAAAGGCTGGGTCATTCTCACAGCTGCCGACTGAAACTGCTTCTGGTACACAATGGTGTTCATTTTATTGGACTGACTATTCGGACTTGTAGACGCAGCCCTGAGACAGAAAACATGTTAAGTCAGTTAACATATGGGGCATAACAGTGGAAATACCTAATGTGACAATAGTCATATGTAACCTCATTCCAGAAGATAAACAGGGCATTACTTAGAAAAAGTCAGCTGTTACCAAAGCCAGGAACAATTCACTGTACAGTGGTGCCTCGCATTACGAGCGCTCCGTTTTACGATGAAATCGCTTTACGTTGAAGGTTTTGCGATCGCAAAACAATGTTTCCTATGGGGAAATTTCACTTTGCGATGATCGGTTCCCTGCTTCGGGAAACGATTCTCGCAAAGTGATGATTTTCGGCCAGCTGATTGGCGGTTTCAAAATGGCCACCGGGTAAAAAACATGGCTCCCCGCCCTTTTCTGGGACAGATTCCTCGCTGCACAGGCAGCGAAAATGGCCGTGCTATGGAGGATCTTCGCTGGACAGTGAATTTCTTCTAGGAACGAATTAATCAGGTTTTAATGCGTTTCTATGGGCTCCCCCCCCCCAAATTTATTTTTAACAAGGGGTGACAGAAAGGAAAAAGAGAATTGAGGTTAAGGGGGAAAAGGAGAAACAATAACATACTAACATCCATTCTATACATATTGCCATATCAAAATTCCAAATTGCTTTTTACTATTTTCTGCCTTCCAGATGTAAGTTCTCATTTCACTGTATGCTCTTCATACGATGTCTATTAACTCAATCCATTTATAGAATAAATCCCATCTTTCAGTTGCCTTTTGTAAAGGACAGTCCTTCATCACTTCTGATAAAATATCCATTTCCGCTGTTTCCCTTATCTTCTCTATAAGATCTTCTTGTTTCGGTACCGTCGGACTTTTCCAATTTTTGGCATATAAAATTCTGGCTGCAGTGACTATGTATATAACTATGGGCTTTTTAATTTTGCATCAAGACGTTTTCGTTCTACAGCGATTTTGCTGGAACAAATTAATGTCGTAATGCGAGGCACCACTGTATATCACAATGAGTGAGAGGCATGTCAAAATTACCACTCATACAACGGGAACAATTAAGATCAGTTACACGTACTTTTGTAATGGTTTGATACTTCCTTCCAGATTAAGTTCAATATACAAATCACTAATAACTGGATTTAAGTTTTTTGCTTAATAAAAAGGTTGCAGTTTTCACATTACACACAAGCAGGGTATATTGTGACCATATCATTTATGAATGAACAGCAATTCAGGGTTGGGCATCTACCTAGCTGAAAGACCTGAAATACTGGTCAATGCTTTAAAAATCAGCCCCACTGAGTCAATAACTGTACCAAGTCCTGTTCAAATGGCAATGCTGCAATATCAAATGGACTTGGTTTTCCTGCTTCCTGGGCACCACTGACATAAATGATTTTGCTTTCTGAACTCCTGTAAAAATGTAAACGAACATCTACAAAAAGGGGTTCCTTGGTTTCACACAAAATATGATCAGAGTCATATGACAGACTGTGACTGAATGGAAAACCAACTCTAGGTCACACACCCTACCTGCATGGAAAAATGTCACCTTCTTTATTAGGCACAGATTTTTTTTTTCTACAACCATATAAAATTTAACTTGGACAATTACTTGAATGAAGGTGTATCGAAATGAATAGGCAGTAATTTTCTACAGACTTAATGCAAGGTGTAGTTACTTAAGGGACTTTAGGAAGTTTTGAGATTATATCCAAGAGATTATAATTCTCTCCTGCATCCACTGAACAATCATACAACATTACAGAGAAGATTGATAGTTTAATCTACTGTACTTGGCTGTGTTACTAATCGACACTCAATGCAATATAAAAATGTCTTAAATTCTTGGGATGGAATTTAAACCGTTCAAATCATCTGAAACTTTGACGTAGGTCTTTAAGAGAGACAAGACCTAGCCTAGGTACCACAATCCAGATTATGGATGCCATGCCATGCCATGCCATCTGTACACTGTTAAATTCCAATCTCCAGCTGGGCTAATGTCAGGATCAATCCACTGAAGCTATTTATATGAGCACACAACATCTCCACCCTCAATGTTACATTGTAGGTTGCTTTTGAAGCTAAGGGGTTGGAGTCAGCAGTTTAAAGAAAAACAGCCAGTAATCTGGATGGATGAGTGCAAATTTATTTTGTGGTCCCAAGAAGCTCTTCTGAAGAGAGCCAGTTATTACAAACGTTTTCTTTTTTGATCCCCTGACTGTTTTTGTTTTCTGTGGAAGCAGTACATTCCAAAAAATATTAGGAAAAGCCATGCCTTATAACTAGTAGAAGATTATGAATTTTTGTTTCTGGGACCTCGCAAGCATGGGGCATGATTTTAAATCTGCTACAACTTTCCCTCGCCAGCTTAAGTTAAAACAATTACTGGTTCTAGGAAGTGATGTTTCCTCTTGTTCTAAGGCTGTTTTATACATATATTATTAGAGGTCCAACCAAGTTTCAATATTGTTGCTTTCCAGGCACAGTATATGAGGTATCTGAGGAGTGGCTTTACCGGTTCCACCTCTCCCCCACTCCATGTGACTTTCCATGGCTGAGTAGAGATTTGAATTAGGCCTCTTGAGTTCTAATCCATTACACCAAACTGGGTAGCCAAAAAACATACAATGAAATGAATAGCACATTCTTAATATAATTGAAGCAATGTGAGATTCTTTCTGGCAGCACATAATAATCCATTAATTGTCACACTGCTTGTTGTCATTCAAATGTATTTGAAGCACAATTCTGTGGACACACACCTGTTCAAGCTCTGTTGAAATAAAGGGGAAATGGGCAAGTATGCAGCCATTCTGTCTTCATATTTCCTGCAAAATAAATTGTCCTGTTTCCAAATATACTCTCCTTTCCATCTGAGCCCAAAGTAGCTCAACTGAGCCCTCCAGCCTCAAAATTACTGATGCACTGACCTTACAAAGGAAATACTAAAATCAGTCCGAAGCAAAATGAAGCCAGATTGTATATAACTGGTATTTTTATCTATACTGTACAAATATTCCAAGTCAGTGTTATAACCCCAGTATTCTATATACTAGAAAAAAAAACCAGGCCAAGACATTTTAATAATGAGAGATACATGGTATAGTTTTTTGTTCCATGTTATCAGAGGCTTATCTGTATAAAACACAGTTCTTGGAACTGTAACACATGTTTTTCACAAATGACTCACTTAAAATTATGCATCTTCAGACTATATTATGCGTTGTCTAGATGCTGCCTTTACACTGTTTCAATTTAGCACCAATATTTTTAACTAAACTCTTTTATATTCTACAGTGTTGCTTAGTTTGAAAATAATTCTTTACCGGAAGGGACTAGAAGTTGGAGTGGTGCTTCGCCCAGAAACTGGAGGTGTGCCTGGTTTATCAATGCTGTTTCCAAAGGTCTTCAGGTCCATGTCTGACATCTGAATGAAAACAAAATTAGTTACACAGGAGTTTAAAATCAAATACAGTGGTGCCTCGCATTACGAGCACTCCGTTTGACGACGATATCGCATCACGACGAAGATTTTGCGATCACAAAACGATGTTCCCTATGGGGGAATTTCGCTTTGCGATGATCGGTCCCGTTTTGCTAACAGATTATCGCAAAGTGATGATTTTCGGCCAGCTGATCGGCGGTTTCAAAATGGCCACCGGGGGAAAAACATGGCCGCCTGCTCTTTTCTGGCACGGATTCCTCGCTGCACGGGCAGCGAAAATGGCCGCGCAATGGAGAATCTTTGCTGGACAATGAGTTTTAAGCCCCTAGGAACGCATTAATTGGGTTTTAATGCGTTTCTATGGGCTTTTAAAAATCACATGATGACGTTTTCGTTCGACAGCGATTTTTTCGGAACGAATTAACGTTGTCATGCGAGGCACCACTGTAATGACTTGCTCACCAAGAATCCCATCATATTTAATCACAGCTTCCCTTTACTACAGTAGCAGTAAAAGCTAATCTAAAAAAAACACACCAGAAATGTTTGCACAAATCTCTCTATTATGTACTTGTTTAGATGCATTAGCATTTACCCCTGTATGAATGTGACCTCAGTAACTCAAATGATCAATGGGAAAACTAAACATAATACAGTTCTTAAATGCTCTGTACCAAACTCAATTGTATGACATCTGCACAAGTTAAATGTAACTTAATGGAGCAAGTAGCTCTCTCATCCTCCCTCAAGGAAAGTTAAGCAAGAATCCATATACTGTATATTATTTATTTCCATATCTTCCCCCTTCTTTCAAAAAAAAAAAAACCTACTTTATTTTTCAGGGACATACACATAGCTAGAACATGAGTGACAGCACATTTAGGCCTGCAGGGTCCAGATGTACTTCACTTGGGCTGAACAGGGTCAAACAGCTGTGAATACACTAATACAGTGTGGGACGCAGCTGACGTGCACGACATGAGCTTTGCAACACACTACTGCCTCGTTTATACATATCCCAGCTTATACTGCCCAACTCTGTGAACACAGGTATGAAGATAATTGATATGTGAGTTAAGCAGCCCGAAGACATGCAGAGTAACTGAATAGATGGTAAAATATGAGATACACTGTGTCTTCACATAACTTCTAAGCTAATTCCTGTTCACATGTTTCAATTTGCTATTCTCTCCTAATTTGGTTTCGGCTCCAAACATTACACCTTTGCTACTATCACCATAGTCCAGCCAGCCTGGAACTTCATGAGCATCAGTAGACTCCATCTATGTGCTGCCCACTAGTAGAATTTGTACCACGGCATTTACCTTCCCAGTTATAATGCTGTGCTGAGTTCCAGCTGGAATTAAGCCTCTGAAAGGCTGACCAACTTGTGCTGGCCGACTCAGATTCTGAGCCTGAGGTTGTGGTGGTGTGTGCTGCAATGGAGGTTGAAGGGACTGTGGAAGAGCAATTAAAGGCTGGCCTGCTGATCCAAAGTTGGGCAAAGAAAGCTGTGATCCTGGTATAGGTACTGTTACCTGGATAAAAAAAAGAATGTATTAGAGCTCAATAACTTAAAAACATCAAAACAAAACTGCTAGATTTGAAAACTGGTGAGAAGCAAATACACATTCTGTTACTATAGCTGTTACTGTACCTATACATGAAGAAACACTGAACAACTATCAATATAGGAATGAAAAGCAGAAATAGCAACAAGGGCCCAATAGTCATAAATTCAGGTTGTCCAGAAGCAGGAACAGTCAATCTTTGGATGTGGTTGCTGATGGCCTAATGGCTGATGGAAGAAATGAGAGTAGGTTGCAGAACAGCTGAGAAGTGGGCCTGTAAAAGTAGCTGCTGAATGCAGGGAAGTCCCAATGATACCGGCGGCAGAGCTGGTGCTAAGAAGAAAGCTCAAATCAAGATTGGAATTGAGAAGGAAGGATGTATCAATGAAGTACCAAAAATAAAATTAAGAGTCTATGGGATTCTAGACCAGTGGTTCTTAACCTTTTTGAAAGAAACGCCCCCTTGAGCCATTGAGGAAGTTATCATCGCCCCCCATCTTATTTATTTATTTAATCCAATGACCCCTGAAAACAAAATTCAATTCCAAGAAAATGAAATGCCCCCAAAAAGTAACATTTAATGATTTAGTTGCAAGCGAATTTTAAGACGCAAAAAGAAATATAAAAAGGGCATAAAAACAAACCGCAATGCAGGAACTAAAAATTTCAAGACGAAAACTCTGAAACTAAATTAAGATTGGAGGAAAATATATATTCATGCACATTGTAAAAAGGCTGCAGCCATCTTCACAGGTTTGGCTTGCTCCAGCGCCCCCCCTACCACCACCCCTTCTGCTCCAGCGCCCCCACACCGCTCCTTTTTGTTCTACCGCCCCCCTGAAAAATAAAATCACCCCCTGGGGGGCATTATCGCCCACGTTAAGAACCACTGTTCTAGACCACCAATATTGGAGTGACAAGGTTAGAACAAGGTAGACATAATTTGGGTCAGAACCAGAATCAGGAGCGTGAAAAGGCAAAAAGCAAGTAGGAGAATCCCATCCAATGCCAGCAGGCATCCATATAGGTTCTGGTGATACCAGCACTGTAGCTAGTTTGTGAAGCAGTCATTTGCACCTCAGCGACTGAAAGTGATTATGATAGTTGTCTTAGGGGGTGGCAGCCCTTAGGCTCCAAGACCAAATGAACATCCTACAGGAGAAGATCCCAACACCAATGGGAGATGCAATTCCACCTATTAGGAAGGAAATAAAGAGTACTAGGCTGATCACTCTATATGTCTTCCCAAACATATAGCAAAGGATCCACACAAAGGATTTCAATAAAATGATGAAATATCTTTTCCTGTTCCAGGGCTTAGGGAACAGTCTTGAAAAGTGAGTGGAAGCTGCCACGGTTATGAACAAAATGCGCTGGGAGTGGAGATTGTTCACAAATCTCAGTCTCAGATGTTGAACCAATGAAATGCACATTGTTTGATGACTGGGGTTAAAACTGCACTGTCTTATCTAGCAATAGTACAAGTGATGCTAGAAGAGGTAGCAGGACAGAAAGGGTTGGTCAGATTTCACCAGTAATGAAGCCATATTCAATAGTTCACCAAATGGAGGTTAAAATTAAAACATGCACTGAGGCAAACCACTCTAGCTTTCCCTTCCTTAGAAAAAATGAGGACTGCAAATGGTCTAGGAGTAGGTGAATGTGAAGAAGCTAAGGTGGGTTGCCTAGAAGTGCTTTGTGAATCTGAGTATCATGGCTAACAGCCAGGCCTGAAGTAGTTCATACTGTAGTGGCTGAACTGCTGAAGGAGAAAGGAGAATCAGGCTGATGTGCTGCAGAGTTGTCTGATACCAAAAAAAAAAAAAAAAAAAAAAAAAAAAAAAAAAAAAAAAAAAGCTGAAACTGGGATGGTGCCAAGTCTTAATGGCTGGTAACAGACAAACTGAGAAACTGGTGCTGGATCTATTACTGGTAAAGGTGTCTCCAAAAGATGGGCCTAGATTCTGAAGGACCAGTTTCTATGGGCTTTTAAAATAAAAATCCGACAGTGATGGTACATGTCCATCAAGTGAGGCTTTTCAATGCAAAGTAGGCGTGTCTGCAGTGGGGGCCAACGTGTGCCAACAGTCTATATCTAATACAGGGAGGCCTTTGAGGCCATAAACCAGAAATGAAGTAAAATGTTTCATAAGGTACAACATGAAGCAAAAAGAACATTAAAAATAGCCAGAAATCAATGATAAGATTAAGAGTAGAGTGAATTAAAATGAATGAAAACAAATCAGTTATCGTGAGAATCTCCTACGCATACTTCCACTGTGGCAATTAACAACAAACTGAGCAGGATCAAACATCAGGAGTTTGAATATGTGCCTTAGGCAAAGCATGGAAATATTTTTGGAGGAATTAACATGCAAAAGTCTTTCATAACTGAGCTGTGGAAGAGTGCTGATTTATTATTATTATTTTGTCCCTGTGTAAGAGTGGAGGTGGAGGGGTAGGGAGATGCTCCCATAAAAACTCTCAGGTCTAGAACGTTCCAAAGGAAGCTCTGCAGAAATGTGATGCACAGCCATGCTTAGGATGAGGTTGGTTTGGCACTTTAGCTTCTCACATCTGTGGGGAAGGAAAAGAAGAGGAACAGGTACTATCATATATCTCTAACTCATCTCTCTCACCCAGCATAATTACATAACACTTCTGGGATGTTCAGCTCTACAGAGGCAAACCTATCATTTGAACAAATTTTACTAAACGAAGTTCTGTTACAATAAGCTAGAGCTTATTTGGCATCCCTATTCATTTTAATGGATTCTATTTTTATTTTATTTTATATTTTATTATGAATTTCAGTCATTCAAAGATACAGTACAAAGATAATTATTATTTATTTAGTGGATTCTATTCTACTGTGCTTGGAGGACCAAGCAGTGAGGATCAGTAAACATCAGTAAACATTACAGTTTAGAGATCTGCACTAGTTTAGCAAATGTTTGTGACTGCACTACGAATAGCAAGTATGGCATTACTTAAAAGCCTAGGATTATTTGGCTTCCTGCAAAGGTTCCCTCTAAACTGGGCCTGTGCGCACACACCTCTGCTGCCCTCTGTGCAGCTGTCTTTCCCCTCCGTGCAGCAATCACATTAGGTTCCAGTGATGACAGAACCCAGAATGCGTGCACGGGTGGTGGTGGTGGTCCACACATGCACGAACAAAGTCACGTGTACAAGAGGCGGAGCCCCACCCACCGGAGCGGAAAGTTAGAAGGTATGATCCTTCCCCCTAATAGCAAGTGTCCTGAGCAGTCCTCAACAGTCCTGAGCAGAATTCTCTATAATTGATAAAGGGAATAACTGTTAACCTCCACATATTTTGCACTTTAAAATACTGTCTGATACAACAGAAGTGTTACTTGCTAGCTGTTGTCTTTAGAACAGAATTAGGGAATTTAAGTTTTAGTACTGTAATTTTTCTGTATTTTTTATCTTCACTGTTTTTTAAAAACAAAGTGACGTACCTTGTGGCCTAGATATGGGGAAAAGGTAAGAGAGACATAATTCAGACATTCTGCTGGCTAGGACTGCAATCCTCAGCAGTCCTAGCCAGCAGAATGTCTGAAGATAGTAAGAACTGAAGTCCAGTTCTTATTCCATATCATTTCATATCCCTGCTCTAGGATCACAATAAACTGCACTAGAGAACATAAACATAACATCAAAAATCATAGCAATTCCTAGACAGCAAAACTGAGCTAACCTCAGTATTGCACAGGGTTGCTATCATGTAGCGTTATAGCACTTTTCAAATACTACTGAGAGGTAGTCATAAAGGAGTGACAGGATCTGTTCTTGAACATCCCAGAGTGCAGGACACAAAAAATGGACTCAAGTTAATGAATCTATAACTTCTCCACTAAAGAATATAAAACCAGTTTCAATAGGCTATTCTCTTGTCCTAAGACTGCATTACTACAGACAACACACACACAAATAAAATATAACTGAAAGCAATTTACCGTGCCATAGTTTACCTGCTGAAGAGCACTAGGAGACTGAGCTGTGTTATAGAAGCTTGTCTGACCAGGTTGCTGAACCTGTCCAGAGTACAGATTTGAGGCCTGGGTAAGAGTAGCTCTGGCCTGAGAAGAGAGAGGTTGACATTTTCTAGATGATTTGTTAGGCAAGGTTAATTTAACTGAAAACAGAACAAATCTACAGACACTGTATTTAGAATTGAATCATTCTCCTTATTTTATACACTATATCTGAATAAGCAGCATGTGTGAACAAAGATAATTTATATGTGAAATTCATGTACTGCTATTCACAAGACATACTTGAAAGTACTGAAGTCACATATAAAAGAGCAAAAACAATGCATACCTAAATATAAGAACAAACTCCAATTAAAAGTGTAAGACCTAAATCCAACTGTCTCAGTCAGAGCAGACTCATGAAGTCAATGGAACATACACTTGTAATCAGAATTATCCAACCTCCATTGCAAGTCAGGTTTCTTGTCAAAATTCAATCTTTCTGCTGTTTGCAATGAATAAATCAAACAAAAGCAACTGAAATAGCTCAACACAATGAATGCTTCAAGTGGTTTCCCCAAATTCAACTGAAAATGCAACTTTTAATGAATTCTGCAGTCTCAAAATTATTCAGTCCCCTGAACAGGATCCTCACAACAGCACAAATATGCAAAACAGGTGTTGTCTCATACATACCTGACGCAACTAATCAAGGGCTTCATTAGTTGCACAAGTGTGCCTGAGCTGGAACACATAAAATACCTGAACTGGCTAGGGGCGTGGTGAATGCCACATTTGACTGCATGTTAGAGATATGGCTAAGTCAAAAGAATGGTCCAAAAAGTTAAGAGATCATTGCCCTTCACCGGCAAGGAACAGGATACAAAAGGATAGCGAAGGCACTGAATGTTCCTAGAGACACCATTGGAAGCATAGTTCACAAGTTCAAAGTTAAAGAAACAGTGGTTACACAAGCTGGAGGGGGCAGAAAAAGGAAGCTGTCAATGGCTACAACCAGATTTCTGAGAAGGCAGACTGAGGAAAACCCTCAAGTGACCGCAAAAACCCTGCAGCAAGACTTGATGGCAACAGGCACCGAGGCTTCAGTTTGCACAGTAGGGCACATACTAAATGCAGAAGGTTTCCATACCAAAACTCCTAAGACGTGTACCATTACTGACTCAAAAGCACCAGAAACGTTGGCTCCAATATGCTCAAAATCATATAATTAAGCCACAGACATTTTGGGATTCTGTTCTGTGGAGCAGTGAAACAAAACTGGAACTTTTTGGCCTGATGGATCAGTGGTACGTCTGGTGGAAGAAGAATAAGGCATATACTGAAAAGAACACTCTGCCTACAGCTAACCATTGTGATGGCTCAGTGATGCTCAGTGATGCTTTGCATCCTCTGGCACTGGAAACTTGCAGTGCTTGGAAGGCAAGATGGATTCATTGAAGTATCAGGAAATCCTAGGAGAAAACGTCATGCCATCTGTGAGAAAGCTGAAGCTTGAGTGTCACTGGACCTTCCAACAGGGCAGTAATCCCAAGCATTCCTCAAATTCCATCAAGACTTGGTTGCAGAAGTAGTCCTGGAAGATTCTATAGTGGCCATCAGTCACCTGACTTGAACCACATAGAAAATCTCTGGTGAGATTTGAAGAAGGTGGCTGCAACACGTAAACCCAAGAATATTATTGAACTGGAGGTCACTGATCATGAGGAATGGGCTAAGATTCCCCAGGAACGCTGCCAGAAGCAGGTGTCTGGCTATGTGTCTCCTTTGCAGCAGGACATAACAGCAAAAAGAGGGGTTATTTACCTGTAACCATGGTTCTTTGAGTGGTCCTCTGTGAATCCACACAAATGGGTTATTCTGCACCTGCACAGAACCTCTTGGAAATTTCTAGAGCTTAGTGGGACATTCCCCCGTGGATCGCATGCTCCATCCCCCTGAAGTCCTCTCAGTTCCCAAAAAATACAGTGGTGCCCCGCATAGCGAGGTTGATCCGTTCCGGATTAACCCTCGCTATGTGAAAACATCGCTGAACGGATCAAGAAAACCCATTGGAACGCATTAAACATCGTTTAATCTGTTCCAAATGGGCCGAAAACTCACAGTTCAGCGATGTTTTCCTATGGCCGGCAGCCATTTTCGCGCCCTCCCCTCGCTTACCGAGGGCGCAAAAACGCTTGCGCGCAGCCATTTTGGGGCTTCCGGCAGCCATTTTGGAGCCGCCGAACAGCTGATCCGCGGGTCGCAAAGCGAAGGTCGGTAAGCGAGACGCTTACCGACCTTCGCTATGTGAGTTTCGGCCATAGAGGCCATCGCTTTGTGATCGCAGTTGCGATCGAAAAAAAACCCTTGCTATGCGGATTCGTCGTTCTACGGTGCGCTCATTAAGCGAGGCACCGCTACACAGCTGTCAGAAAAGTAAATAGAGATGACAACGTGACGGACAGAGAGGAAGATGGGCGGGATGTGTGGATTCACAGAGGACCACTCAAAGAACCATGGTTACAGGTAAGTAACCCCTCTTTCTTCTTCATGGTCTCTGTGAATGCACATGAATGGGCGACTAGCAAGCTCACTTACCAGTTGGTGGGACATCACGTTAAGAGGGAGGTAAGAACAGCTCTGCCAAAGCCAGCTTCATTCTTTGCTCTGATGTCCAGATGATAGTGAGTCAAAAATGTCGAGGGTACAGACCATGTAGCTGCTTGACAGATGCTGGAGACATCTATACCACGAAGAAACGTGGTAGAAGTAGAAACAGCCCTGGTGAAATGGGCCTTAACAGTGTCTGGTGGTGGTTTCCTCACCAATTCATAAGCCGAGGTGACTGCCTGGACTATCCACCTTGATAAAGTCTGTGAGGAAGCTGGAGAGCCCTTGTGAGGACCGTGATAGCAGATAAAGAGGCGTGAAGATTTCCTAAAAGATTTTGTTCTGTCAACATACAAAGCGAGAGAGTGTCTAACATCTAGAGTGTGGAGCATGCGCTTGAGATCCGATGTTGGGGATGGAAAAAGAGAAGGGAGGACCAAAGGTTTGTTGGGATGGAATTCTGACACTACCTTAAGTAGAAAGGAGACATCTGGGTAGAGGGTAACCTTGTCAGGGTGAAACTGGAGATACGGTGAATCCGCTCTGAGAGCTGCTAACTCGCTAGCTTGCCTGCTTGATGTGATGGCAACGAGGAACAAAGTTTTGAGGGAAAGAAGTTTGAAATTGGTAGTGACAAGCGGTTCAAAGGGAGGGCGGGTATGAGCATTGAGGACCGTTTGTAGAGACCATTGCAGAAGTGGTGGATGTTGAGGAGGATGGGTATTTTGGAGGCCTTTAGGAAATGTCTTCATGGTAGAGTGAGAGAAAAGTCGAGCAGAATCAGAGTCCAGTGGTTGATGTGCTACAATAGTGGAAATGTACACCTTCAAGGTGGAATGTGATAGACCTAGATGAAAAAGATGGAGAAGGAATGTAAGGAGGGTCTCAAGGGAGATGAGTGTTGTTGAGAGTCCCTTAGAAGCAGCAAAAGTGGAAAATGTCTACCATTTATAGGGGTAAAGAAGTTGAGTGGAAGGCTTTCTAGCCATGTCAAGAACAGCTCCTATGGAAGATGAATTTTCCATGCGGTGAGGTTGAGGGACTCCAGGTACGGGTGGTAAATCCTGCCTTTGTTTTAAATTAGCAGGTGTGGGAGACGAGCGAGGTAAAAGAGGTCTGTCAACATCAGTTTCAGGTGGGTGAACCAAGTTTGCTGCGGCCACCAAGGGGCTATGAGGATGGCATTGGAGCGAAACTGGCAGAACCTGACCACTGTCCTTTGAATGAGAAGAATGGGAGGAAATAGGTATAGAAGACAGGTTCTCCAGTCAACCATGAAGGCATCTCCTAGGGAGTTCACGCCTCTCCCTGCTCTGGAACAATATTGGATGCATTTGGAGTTCTCGTGTGCGGCAAAGACATTGAGAGTAGGAGCATCTTAACGATCACAGATTTGGGCAAAACTCCAAAACTCATTTGTGGGTCTGAGTAGTGAGACGACTGAGGTAGTCTGCTAGAAAGTTGTCTTGAGTGGCAACATGGACCATAACAGGGAAGATGTGATGGGTGTAACACCACTTCCGGAGGTAAGACTGTTAGGTATAGAAAAGAGAGAGTGTGTGTGCCCCCTTGCTTGTTTACACAATAAACAAACAAGGTGTGTGTGTCGATCATCGGGTTGAATAGGAAAAGGTACCAGGCTTGAAGGGATCTCATTTTGAGTCAGACATGTTGGATAACTGATGTAGTTGAGGCCATGAGACCGAGAAGATGTTGGGTCCAATGCACCAAAACTGAGGCAAGGGGACAAAAAGACCATACTGCAGTTTTTAGCTTGGTTATTCGCTCTTGGGGCAGAAATGCCCTGACCACAGACGGGCGCCTATATAATCTTTGAGCCTATATAGCTTTGAGAGGGGTCTAGCCGAGATTTGGTGGCGTTGACCTTGAGCCCGAGGTCTGCTAACGTAGAGAGTGAAATAAGTGTCTCTCAAGTCGTCTTGGAAGAGTTTGATATGATTAACCAATCATCAATATAGGGGAAAACGGTTATGCTGTGTAGGTGGAGGTGTGCCATGACTGGTGCAAGGCAAATTGTGAAGGTCCATGGAACGGTAGAGAGGCTGAATGGAAGAGAACAGAACTGGTAGACGATGCCTTTGAAGCAGAAGCAGAGGTACCAGTGATGATGAGGATGGATGGAAATGTGAAAACAGGCATCCTGGAGGTCTATCACAACCAGTATCCTTGGGAAAGGAGAGGGATGATGGTATCGAGTGTAACCATCTAGAAATGTTTGGGCTGGATGTATGCGTTGAGGTGTCTGAGACTGAGGATGGGATGGAGACTTCCATCTCGCTTTGGAACTGTAAAGTAAAGGGAGTAAAAACTGTTATAAATATCGTGGTTTGGCATTCTGATAATGGCTTGCTTCTGAAGGAGGAGCAAGACTTCATCTTGAAGGGTTGGTGAGTATGGAGTGTGTTTGACATGACTGATGGGTGGAAGTTCTTCAAATCTGAGAAGACAGCCGTGACAAATGATAGACAGTACCCAATAGTCGTTTGTGATACGTGACCAAGAGCAGAAAAAAGGATGGAGATGGGTTTGAAAGGAAGAATGGAGACTGACCTTGGGCTTAAGAGAGTCAAAGATAATGTTTGCCCTTTTTTGAGGATGATGAAAGTGGAGCATGTGGAAGTGGAGGGTCCTGAAAAGAGTCTTTCAGGGAATTGAGTTTTGTATGGATGATACTGTTGTTGTTGATGCGGTTGCTGAAAGAAGGAGGCTCGATGCCATAGGGGGAGTTGACATTGATAGGGTTCTTGAGTAGAATAGGATTTGGCTGTCTTCCTGATTTTGTGGAGGTTGTCCATTACCTCATCAGTCTTTTTGTTGAATGGACCCACTCCATCAAAGGACACCTGCTGATTGAAGCCTAACTGCAGTAGTCATAGCCTTGGAGGTGGCATCTGTGGAGTGAAGAGCAGCTTTTCATTGTTGTTTTGCCTTGGTGAAGGCTTCTAGATGGATATTAAGAGCTTTGGTCTTGGAGTCCTCAGGAGCAGCTTGTAATATTGGGAGGATTTTATTCCAGAGTTGCCTGTGGTAGGCAACCATAGCAGCATGGTAGTTGGCGACCCTCATGATAAAGATGTTAAAGAGTAGAGACACCGACCCAGAACGTCTAACTTTCTGCCTTCACTATTTGTTGGAGCCACCAATGATATATTGCAAGCTTGGAATTGATTTGATTCGACAATGACTGAATTGGGTATCGGATGCTTTGCAAGAAAGGACGTATTTGAACCATGAGTTTTGTAATGGTTCTCCACTTGTCTGGGTATCTGGAGGGAGGACAGTGGTTTATCCCAAGGCTCTTTTACCAAATCAAGCATTGCTGATATGAAAGCTAGACTAAGTGGTAGGGTTTTATCCTGGTTGATGTCGTCAAATACCAGCTCTTGTTTTGGAGGCTGAGGCTGTTCGACTTCAAGCTCGAGGGATTTAGCCATGTGGAGTATAAGTTCAGAATAGGATGTAAAATCTTCAGAAGGTGAAGGAGGGCGATTATCCACCACATTGGAATTGGGAGTAGGCAGGTTGGAGGGTGACTCCTGAGAAATTTCTGAGGGGGAGTTGTGAGCCTCGGAAACAGCGGACTCGGAAGAGGGTGACTGTTGTTGAGGTCTAGATGTCGAGGTTTTGGATCTGGTAACCAGAAGAGTCAACAACCCTCTGTCAGTGTTAGGCAGAAGTCCCTTGTAAGTGGTAGTGACCTGAAGATACAAGATATGAAGGTGTGAGTGAGAAGTAGAAACCGGTACCAAAGATGTACAGGAGCGTTTGAAGGTAGGTTCCTCTGTTGGACACGAAGAAGTACGTTTGAGAGCTGATTTGGCATGTAAAGGAGCTGGAAGAGAAGACTGAAGTTTGGATGTATGAGCCCAATGTTGATGTTCGGGTGGAGATTGTAACAGAGAAGGCTCAGGTGGATAAGTGAATGCATACCGCACTCTCTTTGGTTCATCATAATAATACTGTCCAGTATGCGGGTCGGCACCATCTCTGTGATGCCGGTACCGGTTATACTCAGCATAATAAGGATTTTGGTAGTCTGCCTGAGAATGGTATTGAGAAGGCTCTTGGGGGTAGTAAAACTCCCGATGTGGAGGATCCTGGAAATCAGGTGAGAGATGCTCTTCAACGAATATTTGCGATGAGGAGACCGGTGTGGAGAAGACTCAGAGTTAGAAAACTGAACCATAACTGCCCGCCCTGAAGATGCAGGGCTAGAGTGGGCCGAGGCCGGGCTGGAGAGAATATCAGCCGCTGCAGAGCCAATACTAGATGACAGGCTCACCACTGAAGCTGGAGCCTGGTCAGGAGGCAGTGGGAGTGGATCTTCCACCTCCTAAAATGAGTCGGGAACCTCTATGGAAGACTCTTCAAAAATCGACGAAGGAAGGTTTGGCTGAGGTTGAGTAAGTTGAGTAGACTTAGATGTTTTCTTAGTCTTTTTCAATCCACTCATGTCCTTTTTCTTCTTAGGCGACTGGCCCCGAGACTGTGTCGAGGATATCTTCGATGCCCACTTCAATGAGGATTTAGACTGCTCCCTTGGTTTAGGAGTAGTAGTAGTTGGGCTTGACAAGGACCTAGGCTCGCCTCCTGTCTAGGGACAGGAGGCGAGGTAGGTTCCATCAAGCCGGTGGGTGGATTAAAGGATTTCTCCTAGAGAAAAGAGCGGAGACGCCGGAGATGGAGCTTAAGGGCTGGTTTGGTGAGTTTTTTACACTTCGGGCAGGAATGAGTTTGATGTTGCTCCCCTAGGCAAAAAAGACAGCGGTTGTGGCTGTCTGAAAGCGGGATCTTGTTCGCGCATAACACACACCGCTTAAATGGGCTAACATAAAAGGAGCGGGAAGATGGGGAGGTATGGGGGGGAATGAAAGCAGAGGGAGACAGGGGGAGAGGTTTTAGAACAAAAAGAACTCACAAGGGACCATCAAATCAAGAAGTGAAAAAAAAACTGAGAAGGCACAAAGAAGAAATAGCAATCACGATAAAAAGTTGCTCTAGTCGTCGAGATAGGTCTGACTTAAGCAGCGGTTAAAAGGAACTGAGAGGACTTCAGGTGGGCAGAGCATGCACTCCGTGAGGGAACGTCCCAGTAATCACGCCTTTAAGCCCTAGAAACCTCTGAGAGGTCCTGCACAGGTGCAGAATAACCCATTTGTGTGCATTCGCAGAGACCAGAAAAAGAAGGGTGCTCTCCTAAGTACTGAAGATGCTTGTCATGAACGAGTTGAATAATTTTGAGACTGCAAAATTAATTAAAAGTTGATCTTTCCATTGAATTTGGGGAAACCATTTGAAGCATTTGTTGTGTTGAGCTATTTCGGTTGCTTTTGCTTGACTTGTTCATTACAAACAGCTGAAAATCTGCAAATGTTGACAATAAACCTGATTTGTAATGGGGTTGAATAATTTTGATTACAACTGTACATAATCATGGACTCAGCAAATTTATACTTATTTAACTGTTTTTTATATTTGGGACAAACAACTGGATTTAGGCCTAAAGGTTTTCTAAATTAATCAGAATTAGTACATATGTTTACCAGAACAGCAGGACTGTTCCATATATGCACATAAAATTGTGTTCTGCATAAGTCTGTGTGCCAGCTCTCATTGCGTTAACTTTTTCTGCCATGTCTCAAGCAGGGCTACATCACTGGAAGAAGTAGGTGAAAGGAGAGCCATGGCCAGAACAGGGTCGAAGTTTCAAAGTGTCTGCAGTGGGCCTCCTCCAACAGTGGTGTCTTCATGGTTGTTTGGGCTTACTTGTGTGTGACAGGGCAATAGTAGTTGTGCTGTGTTATGGGCAAAGCAGGTATTAGGTTGCCATCATTTTAATTACCAACAATGCTGCCCCCTACAACAGAGGTATGGTAAATGGGATGCTATGTCAATGACAGTGAGAGTAATTAAAATGGTAGACGGCTCACAGTCCCAGCTTTCTGAAATGATGGGCCCTGGCAACTTTTTGAAGAAAACAGGTGCTGCTACCTGATTTGGGCTCATTCTTTTAGAGTTCAATAAACATGAAATAATATACAGAAGGAAACATACAGATAAGAAGAAACAGATCATTAAAAGGCACAGGATGTCACACAGGCTGGGAATGTTCTTTGCATAATGAAAGCATTGAGTCTCCTTGATGTAACACATTGCATAATCCAGCATCAGTAAGTCCCCAACTTCTGATGTTAAAGGGACTTTATATATGCTCCGAATTACATTACACAATGTGCATGCTGGCAGACCAACTGCTTCTTTTTACGTATTGCATTTATTTATTTATTTATTTATTTATTTATTCATTCATTCATTCATTCATTCATTCATTCATTCATTCATTCATTGGATTTCTATCCCGCCCTTTTAGACAAAGTCTACTCCGGGCGTGTTCCATTAAACTGCCGAAGGCAGTGGTCCCCAAACTTTTAATCATTAATAATTTTGAACTCTTCAGTAAGGCTGCTAGGAATATCTGGCTCTCTGACCTGGAGCAGATGTGTATCAATAAGCTGGGAACCTCCAAGTCCTGAAGCTTGACTCAACTGATGCTCATACAGGATAGGAATAGGCTGGGTGTTGGATGTCTGTTGAAATGCAAGACTTGTTTGTGCCTTAGCAAGCTCTTGATGTTGCACTGCTGGGAAGTTGTGTAAGGCTGTGCCAGAAAGAACTACTGGTGATGGCTGAGACAGCCCACTCTGCATAAATGCTTGCTGGGATCTATAAAAAAATGACCAGAGTTAATCACTTTTTAAAACTTTGTTAAACCATAAGATACTGACTTTGTGATTGAAGTTACACTGTGTTGCAACAGGAAACAAAACAAGCTAGAGGTAGGAGTTATGAATGAATATTTTTACCCTACCTTTCTCCTGAAGGTGACTTACATCATTAAAAGACAGTAAGTAAAGCTAACAGTAAGTAAACAGATACAAAAAAGGATCAAACAAATACCACGCTAAAAGACAGTAAACAAAAGCAACACCAAAAACACGTTCAACCCCACTCGGGCAGCCAGTCATCGCGGAAAAAGCTTGCTTGAAGAGAAAGGTCTTCACTTGCTTATGGAATTACAGCAAAAATGGGCTGAGCCTGGTCTCCTGTGGGAGTTACTGCTGTGGGAGCAACAACAGAGAAGGCCCTCTCTTGTGTCTGTAACAAGCACACCTGTGAAAGTGGTGGGACCAAAAGAAAGGCCTTTCCTGATTAATACCCGAGCATGCTCATAAAGGGAGAGGTGGCCCTTAGGATAGCTTGAGCCCAAGCCACTTAGGGCTTTATAGGCCAAAGCCAGCACTTTGAATTGTGCCTGGAAATGGACTGGGAGCCAGTGGAGCTGCTGTAACCAGGGGTGGGGTGGGGTTATGTGATCCCTGTGACCAGCCATAGTTAATCTGGGTGCTGCATTTTGGACCTGTTGATGTTTTTGAACACTTTCCAGAGGCACCCTCACATACAGTGTCTTACAGTAATCCAGCCAAGATACAACTGAGGTATGTGTGACCATGGCCACACAGGAACAGGTGCCAGGTCAAAACCTTCCTGTTCCAAATGGCTTTTAACTGAAATAACATCAAATGTGGGTCTGATGGCACATTTTAGAATATATGTTTTAATTGCATTTAAATTATTTTGCCCTTTTATTTTGCCTTCTTATTGTATTTTAAATGCTGTAAGCCGCCCAGAGACCTTCGGGTAGTGTGGGCGACATATAAGTTCAATAAATAAATAAATAATCATATGCATACTGGTGACACCAAGCCCCAAAACTCCAGGCTACCTCTCCCAGAGGTTTCATTTAGATGTTAAATAATGTAGCACACAAAACAGAATCTTCCCCCAGTTAAAAGCTACTTCTAAGTTTTATTCTTCTTCTGGAAACCAATATATACCAGCAGCCATTCAGATTTTTCACTCTAAGATTCTTTCCCATTTGCTTTATGGTGTGCCTATATAGATACACTCTGTAAACCTGGCCATTGATCAAGTTGCAGCAACGTTTTTTCATAGAATACTAGGAGTTCCCAATTTAATTTGGCTTTCTACTATTTCTTTAGAATTCGGCATTCACCTCCCCTCCATAACTACCTGGTTACTAACATTTAAATTTTGGCTCCGTCTTTTCTTAAATTTGCACTCTGGACCCTTGTCATATGATTTACTGCGTGACTCCTATTCTTTTTCTTGGTTCTGGCTCTTGAAAAGAAACTTTTCTCTCTTGATTTATCCCTGGAATCTTTAGTAGACATGAGTCTCCCTAGGGCTTACTCCATAATTAAGGATAAGCTCTGCCATGCTGAATTCAATTACGTATTCAATAACCTTAATCCTGTACAGTGGAAACTCTACTTACGAACTTAATCCGTCCCAGAAGATGTTTGTTAGTTGAAACGTTCATAAGTAGAAGCAACATTTACCATACGAATGCAATGAAAACCGATTAATCCGTTCCGGCTGTTTTTCGTTCTTATGTAGAAGTGCCGTTCGTACAGTTGAAGCATTAGTTCCCATAGGAACTAATGCAAAGATGGTTAATCCGTACTCTACCACTAGGGGGAGAATTTTTCTTCTTTTGACCTAAGATGAACTTGGGTCAAAAAAGGGGCAGGAAAGGAGGGAGGGAACAACTTCTAAACAGAACACCTTTAAAAACAAGCACTTTTTAAACAAAACCAAGCACCTTTTAGGTTAAAAAAGGGCAAGAGAACACCTTTTAAAGAGAACACCTTTAAAAACAAGCACCTTTTAAACAAAACCAAGCACTTTTTAGGTTAAAAAAGGGGCAGGAAAGGAGGGAGAGGGGAGGGAACACCTTCTAAAAAGAACACTTTTTAACCCAAGCACCTTTTAAACAAAACCAAGCACCTACAGTAAACTCCATTTTAAAGCCTGGCTGCATCAACAAGCACCGCAGCCCCTCACAAAATATTTTCTGATTGTAAAAGAGACAGACTTTGGAACCACATTTTAAACACAGACATTTTAAAACAAAAGACAGGTCACAGTACACAAACCCTATAAGCCACAGAATGCAAAAATAAATAAATAAATTTTACATTTTAAAATTATACAGTCTAATTTTCACATTTAATTTTAATTTAATATTAGTCTACTTTTCACATTTTAAATCCACACCGCAAGACCCATCAGCGCAGAGAAACATAACCCCCCACCTAGCCCTACCCCCCACCAAGCTGCAAAAAACCCTGTACAGTACAGTAAATACAGTGTACAGTATACTCTCACCCAGAACAGGCAGTTTCTGTTTTTTTAAAAAAAGTCAAAAATCCAAAAACAAAACAAAACAATACAGTCCATACAGTATAGTACCAGGCAGTCTGAGGATCCTCTCCCTACCCGCTTTCTAACCACTGGGATGAGCGAGGTAGCAGACAAGCAGCCTCTTCGCTGGCCAACAGTTAACAGAAAATTCAAATTTTGCATTTTCCCTGCCTCCCCCCGCATTTTTTCTTTCATAACTCGAAACTCCGTTTGCAAGTCCAAGCAATATTTTGTTAACCGGGCTTTTCATACCTCAAAAATTTCGCAACTAGGGACATTCGTAATTCGAGGTACCACTGTATTTAAGAGAACTAATATAACTTTGGATTACACATTTTGCTTTCTTTCTGTCCCGATACCTACCTATAGGGCTGCAATGGAGAATTAAACAATTCCTGAGCCTGAGAGACAGCAGGTGCTCCGCCTAAGCTCAACTGGGCTTGATGCTGCCCTTGCAAAGGTGCATAAATAGGGATTGGTATCTGCTGAACTGAAGCAGGCTGTAAGAGAGAGAGAGAAATTATTTAAACATGCAAGTAGTAATTCAACATAAGAAGCTACTTCATGATGATTCAATCTAGTCAGTCTACCCTTCTGTGGTTGACTTCCAAAGTCTTGGGCAAAAAGACACCTTTTCTAACTCTGCTACTTGAAATATTTTGACTAGTGTTAGTGTAGTGTGGACCTGGGATGTTTTTGCATGTAAAGCAAGCACTAAAGCACTGGCCCTAGATCCCCCTTACCAAATCCCCAGATATGCACAGCACCAGATACCAAAATGATTAAAAGAATGAGAGGTACCTACAATGAGCCTTTACTTTACATTGGAATAGTAACCCAATTTCTCTGCCAGCTAACAAGCATAATCTTGCAGAGAGAGAAATGCCTTTCTCTTTCAATATACGGTACTATTAAATATGCTCTACAATGAGCTACTAGTTATGAGTACAAACTATTGGTTTAGTTTGGAAGAAACATTCAAAATAGGGAATTGAACCCTGGCTTGGAATGTAAGTCAAGTTTTTCAATTCTATTTAAAGAGAAACATGCTGTCCTTATATCAGAGATGGAGAACCTTTATCACCAAGGGTGTTATGTCCCTTGGAAAATTTTTCAAAGACTGAATGAAAATAGTGGGTCGGGTCAAAACCTCACCTAGTACTCTCAAGATTCCAGGGTATGTATATGTTGGGGGAGATTAGTTAAGATCATTATTACCCCTCTCCACTCTCTTTTTCACAAGTCTGTAGATGAGTCAGGTATTCACAACCCCCATCCATTCACATACATAATGATGTGTCATTATATATGTATAATTCAACTTGGATGACATGCTCACATTACCATCTAGTATAGTTCTAAATATTTGTATATGAGAAGGGTACAGAAAAGGTTTCATGGCTGGGGAGAGGACATAGAAGAAGCACCTGCAGGCAACATCTGGCAGGCAGACCACTGGTTCTCCAAACCCGCTCACGTACCTGTGACAGACCTGCTTGAAATCCTTGCGGTTGTGCCAGTGAAGGAGGAGCCAAACGTGCATGCTGAGTGTTGAACAGATGGCTTGTATCCATATAGAAAGCTGGAATCTGAGCTACATAGTCATAAGGAAAAATAAGAAGAAGTGAAGAGGTCTAAGTTGATCAGAAAGAACGCCATGTTGATCTGCCTTAGCTGCCAAGCATATGAAGGGAGAGGTAATTCAAAAACAGAAAAAAGACTTCACTTTTAGAGAAGTCTCTATACTTCAGTTTAAAAACTACATATAACCTCTTATACACAACAATACATCAATTCTACAGACAGAAAAGAATAAACTGCAAGGATGTATAAACAAAAGTGTATGAATTTTAAGATACAATAACTTTAAATTCAGTCACATCTACCTAAGAAAATGTGAACAAACTGCTGCCACCATATTACCTGCTGCTGACTGAGAAACATAGACCTGTGGACTCTGCTGTTGCTGAGCAACGAGTGACGGCATACAGCTTAGCTGGGAGAAATGACCCGCAGATGCCAAATTACTTGTTTGTAATTGTTGTGGTTTCACTTTACAGATGTTAGGTGGGTCAGAGGTGGTGGTGGTTTTTGTACTCAGCGAAGAGGTGGTGTAAGTTCCAGCTCCTGAGATTATAAACAACAAAGCAATTATTCAGTTGTTACTCATGCCATCATGTTTTCATAAATTAGTCATATGTTTAAAGGAAAGGAAGTAAAATTCAGCGCTTAGACAGTTAGTGGTGCCCTGCTACACGATTACTTCGCAGAACGACAAAACCACAGGATGGTGACTTTTTTCCGATCACTATAGCGAATGAATGAATGTTGGAACAATGTTTCCAATGGGGTTTTTCGCAGGACGTGGAATAGGTCCGTGCTTCGCGAACCGTTTGTTCGCAATACGATTTTTACGACATTGCAAAATGGCTTCCCGCTGTTTTCCGACCCATGCTTCGGAAGACAGCCATTAAAAACAGCTGATTGGCGCTCAGAAAATAGCTTCCATATGGAGGATCTCTGCTGGACAATGAGGTAATTTCCCCATTGGAACACATTAACTGGTTTTCAATGCATTCCAATGGGGATTTCTTTTTTCGTGTGACGACAATTTCGCTGTACGGCGATTTCAGTGGAACGAATTATCGTCATCATATGGGGCACCACTGTACTTCTAAAGAGCAATTCGTTCCCATTATTCTTGCACTGCTATAATTTTTTTGGCTATTCTTTGCAATGTTTTAGAAGTAGCCTGCCATATTACACAGAACTGTCCATTACTTTTTCATAATTTGTAATTATTTCCATGTCTGAATGGAAACAAATCTTTAGGACTGATAAAGAGTATCATAGAAAACTGCTAGCAAAACCCATCTAAAATAAAATAGAAAATGCTACCCACTGTATCAATGAAATGGCGTCACTGAATGAAGTGCTTTTGAAATGCAACTTTTCTTGTGGTCTCCTTTATCACTTCTCCTGCTAACCTGTTACTTCCAAGTTAAGCTGTTGTTATAGCAGCACTTTTTACCTTACTTTCAAAGGCTATTTGCTAAAAGTAGGGCAAGAGATTACTTATTCCTCTATGTGCTAGCACAATGGTGACAAGGGCACCATATATCACTGATGTGAGTTTCCTAGAAAACTGTGAACTGGACATTTTTCTCATAGCATAAATAGAGTATGATTTAACTTAGTGCATTTATTTGATTAATATTTACTAAATGAATCTTTCAAAATGGCTTAACACAGTGGTTCTTAACCTGGGTGATATCACCCCTCCAGGGAGTGATTTCATTTTTCAGAGGGGCGATGGAACAAAAAGGGGTGACGCGGGGGTGAAGGAACAGTAGGAAGGTGATGGAGCCTCCGTGCCACCATTGAGGAAGTTATCATCACCCCCTCCCCATGCCGCCGGATGCAGAGCAGCTGATGCTGGCAGTGGATGTGGTGCCACCGCCAGCGCCGTAGCCATTGAAGAAGTTATCATTGCCCCCCTCCCTGCTGCGCCGCTGCCATGGGAAGGGGGTCGATGATAACTTCCTCAATGGCTTAAGGGGGCATTTCTTTCAAAAAGGTTAAGAACCACTGGCTTAACAGCCTGTAAGTACTTTAGTCAAGACACATTAGGAAATAACATAATTGCCTTTAAAACTTCTTTAGAAATTTTATTCATTCATTCATTAACCATTAGTACAGAAGCAGTATTCTGGGTGGATTACAAGGCAGAACATGTATTCAAACACGCAAATGAACAAAAAATTACAAACAGTTTAAAACCAAACAGCACCAGAGACAATTTTTCAAATTTTTCAGGCCTCCCTGAAAAGCAGTGTTTTAACTTGCCTCCTAAATAATAGCAGGGAGGGAACTAGACATAGCTCCTCTGGGATCCAATTTCATAAAATCAGTGCCACCACATAAGCTCTGCCTCTTATAGATGTCTTGAGGGCCTCCCTCAGGATGGCTACATGGAGGAGCCTAGTCTGGGAAGATCTGGTGGGTCAGGCAGATGTTTAAATTTAAAAGGAAAAGGCACTGAAAATAGCTGACCCACTTATTCTAACACACCCACTGAGCTGTGCACATCATTCTGCCATTTATCTACTTCCAACTTTATTTTACTTTACTGATATTCTGTGCCAATATTAAGTCTCTAATTGACTGATCTGGAAACAATATTTATGGATATAATATTAAGGAGTTGTTTAGGATAGAGGTGAATGAAAACAGACCTGGACCTACAGGTAGACCCCTGGATGATCTGAAGTCACAGTATTGTTCTTAGAACAATAATAGGAACAACAGTTATACTGGTGAAATGAAGGAACAAAGCAAAGTCTTTTGAACAAAAGGACTCTGGATATTTCTGGGTTTGGATTTTTTAAAATTTAATTGTATGTATTTTGGGCACCTAGTTCAGATAGAATTTGGATTTCTACTAAAACAATAAAAAACCATCCAGCCCACTTGAGCTCTGCCCACTCTTAGTTTAGGACTTTTTTCATGGCAGCATTTCCCATAGCTGAGGTAGCACAATACCTGTTTCGAGTAACAGCAACTGGCCTCATCAATTTATTCACTTGGAGCATTCTAGGCTACCTTTCCTGACCAAATTCTCTCTAAGACTGCATATGGTTATAAACTAGAAAACTAAACAGTATTACTGCAATGGGTAAAACAATAATATTTCTCGGTTTTATGTTCTAACAGAGGCACCATAAAATTATTAAAAAGTACAACGAAGATGGAAGTCAACATCATATTCAAAAGAATCAAATCAATTAAAAGCCACTGGATGCAACAGGTTTTCAAGGTCTTCTTAGAATACTAAAAAACAGAAGCAAAGAAAAGTGTGCTTATATATCATCCATAGCACTTAAAGCACTCTCTGGGCAGTTTACAATTTCATTATGCATGCTACACTAAGACTACAAGAGCCTATCATACACTCCTTGGAACAGTTTCACCGTACAGTGGCCACTGCAACTCTGGACTACAAGATCAATTATCAGGGATTATAAGGGTTATAGTCTAAAATATCTGGAGGACTAGATTCTGAACTTTATAACATGATGGATCAAAACCAGAATAGGGATCAAGCAACATAATGAGAACCACTGCAGCTGCTATTGAATTGGTGTAGGATGACCACACAGACCCAATAAACATTTATACCAATCCTCAAGTGTTCAGGTCAACTCCAAAGGAAATGCAACAAAGTATGCATTGCCACTGTCTACTGTGGAACACAGGGCCTGAAAAATCCACTCATCCACTCGTCTGTGATGAGTGAAAAAAAAAAACGCTGCTTGATGAACCACAGCTCCCTCCCCTTCCTCCTTACCCTCAGTCAGTCTCTCTCTCTGATCCTGCAGTCCTCCCTCCCCCTTCCCACTGCAAAAGGAAAAAAAGCTCTCTTCTCCAGAGAAGAGAGTTTGAGCGGCACATAGATATACAGCTCTGCTGGAAAATATAGAGTAGTCCGATGCTGGAGAATATGGAGATTCCCTGCTCCCAATTTCAACTGAACGACCTGGCTCCTTAAGAGGCTGGGCACTTTTGCTTTCAGTTTAATTTTTGCTGGAAACATTCAAAAGAAAGGCATTCAAAATACAAGCTTCATGACCCCATAGGCATGCTGCCTCGACTTACGAACGTCCCTACTTACGAACATTTTGACTTATAAACAGCTCTGTTCGCAAAATTCTGCTTTGACTTGCGAACGGAGCTTCAACTTACGAACAAAACACAGGGGAGGCGGAGAAAGCGTGAAATTCGAACTTTCTGTTAACCGTTGGCCAGCGAAGAGGCTGCTTGTCTGCTACCTTGCTCGTCCCAGCGGTTAAGTGAGTGGATATGGAGAGAGACTTTGGACTGCTTGTTATTACCTGGTACAGTACTGCCTGGTACTGTACTGTATGGACTGTATTTTTTTGGCTTTTAATTTTTTTATATTTGGCTTTCTTTTTTAAAACAGAGAGACTGCCTGTTCTGGGTGGATACATTGTATTTACTGTACAGGGGTTTTTTGCAGCTTGGTGGGGGGGGGGCTATGTTTCTGTGCTCTGATCGGTCTTGCAGTGTGAATTTAAAATGTGAAAAGTAGACTGTAATATTAAATTAAAATTAAATGTGAAAATTAGACTGTACAGCAATTTTAAAATGTAAAATTTATTTATTTATTTTTGCATTCTGTGGCTTATAGGGTTTGTGTACTGTGACCCCTCTTTTGTTTTAAAATGTGTGGGTTTAAAATGTGGCTCCAAAGTCTTTTTTTTAAATCAGAAAATATTCTGTGAGTGGCTATGCTGGCTGTTGATGCAGGCAGGCTGTAAAATGCAGGTTAGACTGAAGTCTCCCCCCCCCCCAATTGTCTTTTCTCTCTCTCTCTCTCTGCTCTCTTTTTGTGCTGAGGGGGTCTGTTCGCTGGAATAATGGTTGCTGGTTGTTGATGCAGGTAAGCTGTAAAATGCAGTTTAGACTCCGAAGTCTTTTTTTCTTAAATTTAGAAAATATTCTGTGAGGGTTTGTGCTGGCTGGTTTGCTCTAAAATGCAGTTTAGACTCAAATGCATTTTGTTTAAAATGTGTTTTAGACTCTCCCCCCTCTTGTCTTCTCTCTTTTTGTGCTTAAAAGCACAAACCTTTGTCTGAGGGGTCTGTGTGCCCCAGTGAGGACCTTCTTTCTTTCTTTCCTCTTTTGCCCATTGTTCCCTCCCTCCCTCCTTTCCTGCCCTTTTTTAAAACCCAAGTTCCCCTTAGGTTAAAAAAAAAATTCTCCCCCTAGTGGTAGAGGACGGATTAACCGGTTTTGCATTAGTTGCTATGGGAACTAATGCTGCAACTTACAAACTGTGCCTCTACATAAGAACAAAAAACAGCCGGAATGGATTAATCGGGTTTACTTTCAATGCACTCCTATGGGAAATGCTGATTTGACTTACAAACATTTCGTTTTAAAAACACCATTCCGGAAGGGATTAAGATTGTAAGTCAAGGCACCACTGTAAAGCAAACCGTCTGAGGGAACATTTATTTTGGGTTTGTATGCATTGTTACGTAGAAAGTGCCTAGTGTGTGCATGTGTCTGGTCTCTGGGTGTCTGTGAATTTCGTTGTATGGGTATACTGTGTATATACTTACAATGACAATAAATTATTATTATTATTAAATTTAAACATAAATTGTAAGGCTATAGTCTGGTCATGCTGACTGGTGAAATTTTTGACTGACTGGTGAGACATTCTAAATTTTTTCAAGCCCCGACTATATGTTTAATATAATCTCTATGTTGATGACACCTAGTATATGAGACAAGTGGGAAGAAAGCACTCTTAGCTATCACCACCAGAAAAGGTCCCAAAGAATCTCCAGAGTACAGTGGGGTCTTGACTTAAGAACGGCTTGAGTTAAGAACATTTTGACTTAAGAACCGGTGAGACATTCTAAATTTTTTCAAGCCCCGACTATATGTTTAATATAATCTCTATGTTGATGACACCTAGTATATGAGACAAGTGGGAAGAAAGCACTCTTAGCTATCACCACCAGAAAAGGTCCCAAAGAATCTCCAGAGTACAGTGGGGTCTTGACTTAAGAACGGCTTGAGTTAAGAACATTTTGACTTAAGAACCACTCTCATAGGAAAATATTGACTTGACTTACATACTTAGATTTGAGTTAAGAACTGAAAAAAACCCACGTGGGAGGCAGGGAAAGTGCAAAATTTGAACTTTCAGTTAACTGTTGGCCAGTGAAAAGGGTGCCTGTCTGCTTCCTCACTCCTCCCAGCGTTTAGAGAGTGGATTAGGAGTCTTCAGACTGCCTGGTACTGCCTGGACTGTATTTTCCCTGCCTTCCCTGAACCTTTCTTGACCTAAGAAAAAAAAGAAACAAAATATCCCCCTCTAGTGGTCGAAGGCAGAACAGCAGCTTCCCATTAGTTTCTATGGACGGAAAAGAGCAGATACGGATCAAATGGTTTTCAATGCATTCCTAGGGGAAATGCAGATTTGACCTGAGAACATTTTGACTTGAGAACCGCCTTCCAATACAGATTAAGTTCTCAAGTCAAGACCCCACTGTACAAAACTGGCAATTTACAGGAAAGGCATCCAGAACCAAATATACTCCTCAACTCAAAATCACATTATTTCCCTATCCATAAAAGTGCCAATTTGTCTGGATTAAGCTTCATCTTGTTTTCCTGTTTTCAGTGACCTGTAAGTATACAATTCCAAAACCATTCCCAGTAGCCACTTCAAGAATTCCATAACCTCTCTTAAAAGAAAAACAAAAGGTAAAGTTGCCTGCCTAAGAAAAGCAACAGCCCATGCTCTTAAATGCACTCATCTCTGTTGAAATTATGGTACGTAAATTATTTGAGAAGAGAGTTACTGTATTTGCCAGCGTATAAGGCGACTGGGCGTATAAGACGACCCCCCAACATTTCCACTCAAAATATAGTTTGTTATATACTCGCCGTATAAGACTACCCCCTCTTCCACACACTTTCCACACACCAAATAAAAGGTGCTATTCATTGTCACCATTGTATGGCCACAGCGCGACCGCAGTACCTCCGGCCTGCTCCTGCATATCCCTGTGACCCCTGTGACAAGGGGTGGGCCGGAGCACCACTGCTTCCTGCCGAGCAGAACAGGCCGGTCACGTCGAAAAGGCTGGCACCCCTGTTTCGCTGCTGATGCTCGCCGCGGCCACGCTGGATACCGCACGATACTGGGCAGTATGTAGAATGAGGTGGGTGGGCATCGGGAGGCTACTATGGGCACCGGGCGAGAATTGGAAGGCCACTATGGGCAGCTATGTCTATCCCAACTGAAGTACACCCGGCGTATAAGACGCCCCTCCCACTTGGAGGCATGTTTTTCAGGGCAAAAAAGTAGTCTTATTCACCAGCAAATACAGTATTTTATCCACAAAATAAAATGGAGTCTGCTTTTTAAAGGAACATCAAAGGTGTCACATAAGTGATTCCAACACTGTGTCTGAGGGACACACTGAGGAGCAATAAGAACTAAAGTTTGTCTTGGAAAAAGTAAATCCTTTCCTGCTTTGCTCTACAGCCCTTGGAAGAAGCCCCATACTTTCTGTCAATATGCAAGCACTAACACCCTCAGCAAGGCACTGAAATACTGGAAGCATGCCTCTAACTTCCATTTGAGTGGAGAAGGAAAGACTGTAAGTGTTCAGTAACTACAGTTACAATATTTCTAATGCCAGAAGTAAACCATACCAGAGGAAATTATTTATATAAACACTTATTAGAACAACATAAAGAACAAAGGAGAATTGACCAAAAACAACAACAAAAAAGCTAGGAGCCAGATTACTTTTTAAGCCCAAAACATTTAAAGTTAACAGCACAGTCTAAAGGTTTATACCTGACAATGATGTTGTGGGTGTAACTGAAGCCACAGGAATGGGGGGCATTGACGCGCTTGAGAAAGAACTGTATGTACCACTGGTTGGTCCACTGCTGCTGCTACTGCTCACACCTCCACTCCCACCACCACTATTGACACCAGTGACAGGAGATGCCGATGATGTCACTGGTGAATTCTTCTCCCCCACATTTGGTGAATTTTCCCATGCTTTGCGAGCAGACTCCATCTATTAAAGAGAAACAAGGAAAGAATGGCTTTGTTTTGAGACAGATACTGTAGTATATCTAATTTTCACACAGTCATATTTTCATGCTAGACAGTATCCATACTCCTCTAGTGAGCTGTCAGCAAAAATGAACTGTTTTAAAATATTCAATATGCAAGCAGTTTAATATTTTCATAACAAAGTGGAAAAAAGCTATAGCGGTGATTAGAATCAAGTGGGAATCTTCCATATTTAAAAAATACAGTTAATTAAGAATGTCCAATAGAAGCATACGTCATCTTTTTAATCCACAAACTGAAACTGTTAATATAACATTGATCATGCACAAATGCTCAATTTCAGGTTCAAACTTCAGGCACCTATAAGTATACAATCTGTACTGGGTGAAATGTAATATAATTCTACAAATTCTTCACAAAAGAGGCTAGTAAACTTTTGCTTTTTACACCATATGTTGCTTTTATTTTACACAGCAACAAACAAGATTAAATAGATTTGAATCCTCAGGCATGCTGCACTACAAGAGCAAGTCAATGAGACCAGATTTGCAACATACATTTCATTAACATGGATCATCACATTTGTTAGTACTGAGGTGTAGATTAGAAGGCTACCAGCTCTTCAGGGCTCTATCTTGAATCAGCTACCTCATCCTTTTTTGAACAATATAGCATCATAGAAACTTTAGTCAGGCATCATGTGGCATCATCATGACTAACCAGGTTTTTGCTGTCATACAAAGTGGTCAAAGGCAGGAAATTTAAGGTACTGTATAGTTCTTAAACAGCATACTGTTTTATTAATTAAAAATTATAGCTTAGATTATTTTTCCATCACTGCTGAAAATCTGTGCTACAGCTTGCAATGAAATAAATTCAGATCTGACCAATTTTATGCTACTAGAAGACTTTATTTTCTATGCTACACAACTTTGTTATGGACAAACATAATTGGTAAGATTATGCATTTACTTTATCAGACTAATTTTCTCATATAATCGTTTACTGCTATAATACATGGTGCAAATTAGCCTCTTATACAAACTTCAACCAGATAAAAGCATACCTATTTTTACATTTTTATTACAAATGTATCGCTAAATTATTTCTCTAAATAAAAAATAGCCAAGATGCTGCACAAAAGGAACAATTATTTACACTGCCAAACCATAAAGGTTACCATGTAAAATCTGTTAACTGAGGTAAGTGGGAAATAAGAAAATAAACTAAGACATCAGATGCTGATCAATCATACTGCAGAGAATGACAGATGACTGCCTGCCTTTCTCCATTCTTAGATCTTGGGATTCTATAGCATATGGAATTACTACATGCACAAGTGTACCCCTTCTTGACTTCATACTGAACATTCGAACACTTCCTCAGGATATTACAAAGATATCCAGAAAAAAGAAAGCACATTACTTTGCCATAACACTTCCAGCTGAATACACGAGACTGATGGTATTTTGACATGGAAAGAGAATTGGAAAGAGTTGGAAAGAAAAAGACACCACAGCCATGTCAATCTGACCAACAACTACAACAAATGCTGAGTGAAACCTCTGCTGAAGTTTGATACATTTACTGGAAAAGTATCTTTTCAGTTCATTGCAATGTCTATCATCGGATTTTTTAAGTATATTAATAAGTGTTTTGAAATGTGGATCTTGTACTTTTTAACTTGGCAGTCTTAGCCTATTACAGGGATAGGCCTATTCCAAAAGTCTGCAGACAACAAACATCTCAACTTTAGAGGGATGTATTATTTCTTGCACTCATCCAGAATATATTTATATATTTTTAAAATGGAAAAGCTCCCTCTTCCATCTTCTAGCAGCAGAAGATTTTTTTTTTTTTTGTGGATATGTGAGGTGTGCCTGAGTATCAAAATAATGGCTAAATTGCTCAAATATCCCAGAGGATACAAGGGGACTTTCAGACTGTAATTAATAATTTTTTTTTCAGAGTGTGTGGTCTCCTTATGTACTTAGACATGTTAGTATCAGGAACTTGTCTTAGAAGCTCCTGTTATGTAAATTTTGCCAAAAAGTACTGATGTGCAGATGTGCGTATATGTGTATTTGTGTGTATAGTCAACCTTCGACTTACAAACTTAATCCATTCCGGAAGGAAGTTTGTAAGTCGAAAAGTTTGTAACTCGAATCAGCATTTCCCATAGGAATGCACTGAAAACCAATTAATCCATTCTGGCTGTTTTTTGTTGTTAGGTTGAGGGACGGTTTGTAACTCAAATCATTAGTTCCCATAGGAACTAATGCAAAGCTGGTTAATCCATTCCTACCACTAGGGGCAGAATTTTGTTTTCTGTTTTTTGTTTAACCTAAAATGACTTAGATTTTTAAAAAAAGGAAAGATAATAGTTCATAATTCGCAAGCTGAGTCCATATAGTCCTATGAGAGCGGTTCGTAAGTCGAAATGTTCGTAACTAGGGCCGTTCGTAAGTCGAGGGTTTACTGTATTATCTACCGTACCTAGATTAAGTTAAAAACTGTCAACCTGTCAAGAGAATTATGAACAAATATGAAGAAGTAGCTACATTTAATAGCTGATCAGTTATGACAGTTCCCACACAGGTCTAAGACTAAGAGAAAACTAGTACGTTTTTAATTTGCCATAAAACACTACAGTACTTTATAGACCAACTAACTTGTGAAGAGTTGCCTACAGATACTTAATGTTCTCTAGGATATCCAGATCTTTTGTTGTTATGATACGTCTCCATTTTCGCCAAACAGTGAAAAAGCTGCCTTGAATTCTGTCATCTGTCAATTGTATCCAAAGCTCCCTTCTTCTTATGTATCTGGCTCTGCTGCTGTTAAAATCACAATGTTCTACCTTTTTGAAATTGAAGTTGCAAACAACATCAGCCTAACTCTGCATTGAAAAACTCATTATATGACATGAGATGAACATCATAATTGACATCAACACTCTCCATATGAAACTTAACTGTCACAATTCTCCAGCACAGTTAAAAGGCTCTTATCAGCAACTGTTAAGGGTACTAGTAAATAATACTTCATTGCCACTCTCTATTTGCCACGTGCTACATCAGCCAGCTAACATAAATGACAACTCAACACTGTTTACTCAAACAAACACTATCTGTTCCGCTGGGGGGTGGGAACACCTCCCAAAGACACTTGGTTTTTGTATGGGAAGGGAAATGATGAACATGATAAATCCCATCTGATAGTCTGACAGGTATTCTAGGATTTGAGGCAAAGGTCAGTTGACTGATGTTAGTTAAATAAAGAAGGGGAAGGGATGTTAAGATAATTTAATGGATCTCCTTAGATACTCGTTTTAATGGTCTAAAAAGCAAAAAGTTGCTTTAAAAACTGTCACTTTTTTCTCTCTCTAATGATGTCCACCAGAAAGATCTCCATTAAGTCATGCAACAAAATGACCCTTAGAGGGATGTGGTACATACCTTGAGGGTGAGGTCGATGGTAGCGGGAGAAACTGGAGTTAGGCTGGAGCTCTGTTGTAGAGTCTCCCTCCTAGAGAGGGGGAGGGTGTGGGGCAGGGGCACCTGAAAGGCAGGCAACATACATCACATTCTAGCTAGGTCTATGACAAGCGCCCCATCAAGAACAAGAGCTCAAGTAATGCTGCTGAATGAGATAGTCTTTCAGAAGTCATTGGGAGGGGTGTTTTGACAGAAAAGGTCAAAAAAGAGCTTTGATGGGGGGGGCTATCTCATCTGCTCTCATGGAATATATGAGATTTGGTGTTTAATTAATTAATTTGATGTTTAGTCCTCAGAGGACTAGAAATAATGTTACGATGGTCCTCAGATGGTCCAAGGGATATTTTCCTTTCAGTGTCAAGAAATAAAAAACTAAACCACTGCGGGAACTGTATGCTTTTACTTAACATTTCCAGTTAGATTCCGGGCAAATGAGTGAGAATGTAAATATCACCAGATCCCTCAATAGATTTTGCTAGATTAAAATATAAGACAAAATTAAAATATTGATGCTGTCTTATTTCTGGTCACACAAAGCTCTGACAATCATCCTTCTCCTTAAGAGATACTGCCACAGAATGGAATGATGTAGGTGTAAAGAATGCAAGTACATGAAAATTTCAAACCATACACCTGTGAGTAAATCTAGTTTCTAAAATGCAGTACATCAAAGTCAACAGCAGCCAAGAAATAAAAGATGCTCCAACATGAATCCATCTCAAATCTTTCAAATCACTCTGAATGGACAACAGAAAGCTACAAACACTGTTACAGATCTGAACAAAGCATTTTCAATTCCACAAAGTCCATTTCATAAGAAACAATTTGTCAACTGTTAGCTCCCTTGGCACGATACTCAAATCCTGCTCTTCTCCAACCACATACCACACTGTTAAGACTGAAGAGGTAGTCACAAAGCAAAAGCCTTTTGAGTAGCAGCCTTCCATATTAAGGGAACATCTGCTGCAAAACGCTGTCTATTTACACCTTCAGTTGCAGCACGTACACCCACAAAGCCTATGAGGACTTGTGAAAAGGACAATTTGTGAAAGCATTTTTAATTTAACCAACACTGCAACTGACATTTTGCTTCCAAAGTTCTATGTTGCTTCATTCTTATTTAGTATGCATCATTTGCTTTCACAGTTACTCACAGATTATTTATTCACACAAGAACCATTTGAAGAGACCCTGTACCTATTTGTCCAAAACCTGAGTCTAGTAAACAAACACGCTTCCTTCCAGAATTATTATAAAGCACATTTTTACATTGTAATTATTATATTATGCCATCGTTAGTACAGTAACATGATTAGTAGAAGCCATTACTCATACGCTATGCAATTTTGTGCTGCTCCTGTTTTTTTCTAATCCTTAAAAAGAGGACATGCAAAGTTCTGTACCATCTCCCTCACTGCGGTAAAGTTAAGGAGTAAAGAAGAGTGCATGATTGGCAGCTGGCCCAAACCTATAGTTTGGTGCACTACCACAGAAGCATCTCTACAGTCTCACATACTTCTCTCCATCAAACCTGTGCACTCATTTCCTTCCTTTCCACAGTCTGAGAAGAATAATTTTCCCCCATGAATTTTTAGTCAGGTAATTCAGACACCCAAAAACATGGGCTTAAAAGCAACCTCAAACCAAGGTTTCAGTTTGCAGGAAAGCCATGGTTAGTATAAATTATGTGTTACAGCAGGCTAATTATCTCAAAATTATGGAAAAGGAGGGGGAAATAGTGCATAAATCCAAGGGGGTAAGGAAGAGAGTGACAGTGAGAACGTGTAAATTTTGGGCGCCCCCAAATGGCTCTAACACTAGAATTTAAGCATTTGGTAAGAGCTATTCTTGTTCTGAAAAATACGTCCCCTGCAGGCTTACTCCGGAAAACTTTTAGCACAAGTCAAGAAGTCAGTTTTATGGCCATAGTGGGACTAGAGTGTAAAGAACAAAAAGAATTACTTAAACATGTTTGATTATTATGATAGCATATAACTTCTATTATTAATTTCCCTACATGTAACAAGCAAGATTATTCCATGTGCATGCAGTTATCCTGTTAAGCATTATGTAACATTTTATTTAGTATGTTGTAAAGATTGGCATGTTAAATTTGTAAAATATTATAATTTATTGAATTTTAATGGTCTTAATATCATTCTTAAAATCTTTTGTAAGCCTCTTTAGGTCCCTCTACTCAGAAGAAGATGGTGTAAAAAATAAAAATTAAATTAAGAAAATATAAATACCCTTCCTGTATGTGTGATGCAGATTTTTTCCCATCTGGTTTGTTTGTTGGTTTGTTAAGCAGAGTGACAATTTTGATACAGGATAGTAATATAGAATTAGATCTGAGAAGTAAAGAATAAGGGACTAACAACCCCTGAATAACGGTAGATATTACATCTAAAAACAGTGCGATAATTCAACAGCGGAATTATTATACTGCAGAAAAAGGATTTTACCGAACCTCAAAATGGAGTTTATCCTCTGGGAGAACAACCCCTTCTATGACTAGGTATAACCTTAATTTTGTTCCTTATCCTATAACTTTTCAGACAATCTGGGGTATAATCTACAACTATCTTGGTACCTGAAAGAGCCTAACTTGAATATCTGCAACTGCTTTCGACATTCATTTGGAGACTGTTAAATAAATACACACTTCATTAATTTAACATCAGCTGCTTCCCACCTTTGTTTTGTTGCTTGGTTTACCATCTTGCTCAATAAAGATGTCTTGAGTATTTGAAAATTTGCAGATTTTCTAAACCTGAACTGGCCTAACATATTTTGCTGTAACAGAGGGAAAAAACAGTGCAATAGAAATCCACTCTACATTTCTCTCTGCGATTGTAGCTTTCCACAGAAAGGGAATTAAATGTATGCATGCATTTGCATGTATATACAGTGGTGCCTCGCAAGACGATTGCTTCGCATAACGATGAATTTGCTTTACGATGAGGTTTTCGGAGCGATCCTGCACTTCATTTAACGATGTTTCCTATGGGCGATTTTCGCTTTACGATGTTAGGGACCTTGCCTCGCAAGACGGTTAAATTTTAGGTCCCTGTTTTTCGCTTTACAATGTTTTTGACTGCTTGGTCTTGCTTCGCTATACGAGTCTTTTAATGGTCTCTGTCTCGTTAGACTGCTGTCTTCGCTTAATGATGTTTCCTATGGCAATTTTCGCTTTACGATGACAATCCATTCCCATTGGAATGGATTATCAGATTTTCAATGCATTTCAATGGGAAAACGTGTTTCGCAAGACACTGTTTTCGTTTAACAGCGATTTTCGCGGAACGAATTAACATCATCTTGCGAGGCACCACTGTACTGTATACAGTAGTCCCCGCTCCATATCTGCTGGTGATCCACAGGATCAACTGTGGATATATGAAACCACACATATGAAGAAACCCATTAAAGAGAGAAGATGGGGGAAACTGGAAGAGGAGGAGGTAAGTGTACATATGCACTGTGGGTTAGGTTGCAACAGTGGTGACTGCAAATAACATTGACACTGAATTTTAAGATAAGGTGGAAGTACTGTGTGTTTGTGTGAATGTGAAGATAATTCTATGCATTTCTTTGTGGTTTAGACCTAAAAAGTATGTAGTATCTAATCCTTCTGAATATGTAACCAGAGCCTTAACAATTCAAGAAATAATTGTTCTATGAATACCTCAACAACCACACATTCTTACTATAAAGTACTGCATGTTACTGTAATATGTAAATAACCTAGCTTGGAGACCCTATGTAAACCATTGCCACTCTTCCACAACTTTTGATAGCTTTTCCGGATTTCATTAAATCTGAATACCATGACCCTCTACTATGTCTAGTATGGTTCTAAAAATAAAAATAAAAATGCAACACTGGTAACTGACTAACTCTCATAGACAGAATTGAGAAAAGGCTTTTCCACACCAAAGTATATGCACAGGGTATAGTTTATTGTGTGATATTTTAGCTGGATTGCCATAATGGAAACTTTAAAAAACCAATACTGTACTGATTTTAAAATGCAATCAAATATACAAGCTATAGCCTGAAGTCACTAATACGCTTACATTTGTTACTAAAGCTTCTTCCATCTTTGCACTGCTTGTTGCCACCGTATTGGAATGTGAAGAAGGCGCTGTATAGTCTGTTACAGACTCCTGCAAGAAACAAAGTTGAAGGAGGTAAAAGCAAAAAATTGTCATTTTCTGCTCCATAAATTAAACTGCTAAATTAAAAGAATCAAGCCCATATAATTTTTCAGATAGGTTAAGAAACAATAGGGGGTTGTTTTTTTTTTTTTTAGAGAGGAGACATATCTTGAACATGTTGAACACTTCTGACAAACTCCATTATTTTCTTCACTGATCTAGAAATGTAATCTTTTAAAAGATGTTTTTGGGACAGCTTCCTGAGTCTGTTGAATGAAGCAGTTCTCTGTGGACTCACCCTACTGAAAATTAGACTTTAAGTTACATGCAGTTGTAACACAATTCCAGGTATTTGGTGCTGGTGAATTAGTTTAAACAGCTATTCTGTTTGCTTCTTACCTTCTGGGTTGTTCCAAAATCTGAAGCAGATACTGATATCATTGTTCCTATTTCAGTACCAAGTTCAGCAGCTGTCTTTGTTTCTTTAGAAGTAATGGAGTCTGAATTTCTGACTGAAGTAGGAGTGGGTTTTTCTTGCCCCTCAGAGTCACCTTGCTGAGCTTCTTTTACTTTTTTGTTCTTTAGCGACCGCTCTTTCCCAATTGGACCAGGTTTGTACTCTTTATTTTCAATTGGACTTAAATCTGGAAGCTAAATAATGAATTCAGAAATTTCAGAATGAACTTTTTCAGATGCTGATTCCACAGGCAGGAGTGGAAATATCAACTGTGTGTTGCTGTGCCATCATCTTCCCAGTTAATACAAGTGTGTATTTAATGAAGGCTATCTACAGATTTTTAACAGCTTACATTCAAATCCAATTTAGACCTCTTTGGATAGGAAGCTTTTAAAATTTCCACAAAACCATGAAATGTTAGTTATTATACAATATAGTTTAAATACTTGTTGTTTTGTTATAAGTAGCCAGCATTATCATTAAAGAATTCATAACAGGATTTGATCAAGTATAAATGTGGAACATACACAAGATTGCACAATAAAGTATGGAGATTCATTTTATTTCCTGTTATCATACCATAAGAATGCCTAAGTTGTAAAGTTTTGCCTACCTTCTGTGCTTTTATAGGTCCTGCCCGGGGCTGCTTCTGCCTCTGCTCTTTTGGTTCAAGAAGCTTTTCAGAGGGTTTCTCTGAAACTGTGCCAACTTCATTGTCACTCCCACTGGAAGCTGGAGCTCCAAACTGAATAGGTTCTATTCCCAAATCAATTCCACTGTCCTGTCCAGCTGCTGATCCCTAGTAAAGATCCCAGGAATATTACTTTTGAACTTAAGCAAGCATTGTATCAAGGTTATATACCTATGGTTCCCTAACCTTGGCAAAGATAGCAACTGATGTGCAAATCATATCCATCTTGTTCATAAGGTAGATACATTAAGGTAATGCAGCTCTAATGATACCATCAAATTTATGTTATCAGGAAACGTGAGAGTTCAAATCAGTTCTATTTAGGGTATCACACCTAGTTGACAGCTGTAATACTGTAAACTAGCAAACAATGCATATCCCTATTTGTTGGGGAGAAGGACTGCAATAATATTTTATCATGCAAAATTCAAAGAAACAAAACAAAATAAAACAAGGCAAAACATGTGGCACCTATTATATTTTAGTGGGAGCTTTCATGGACACACGTACCTTGTCAGACAGAAACAGAATGAAATATTGAATGAAATATCAGTTTCATACTAAATATTCACTGGCTCTTGGGTGTTTGGTACATTTATATGCAGTAATCTGGTTTATGTTGTTTTAGGGCATTGTTGTAAAAAATCCTCAGGAGTCAGAAAAAAGACACAAAGCCTGGACAAAGAGGTGTG